GTGCCTCCAGTGACAAATTACTCTCCAAAAAGCCCGCCAAGCTCTGTCGAAATCCCGCCAAAATCTTATTCGCTGGCAGGAGCCAACACGCTGGATTACTCCAGATTTTCTTCCACTTCAACATCTTCGTGTTCACTTGGGCGATCTGTATAATCAACGTCACAGATACAGTATGGTTTCTATATCAGTTATTTTAGTCTCCTTGAAATGTCAATCATCATCCAAAAATTATTATTACAGGTTATCTTTGTATTGTTACTTGTTTTTTACTTAATAGGCCAAATTATAGGGCTACCCTCTCCCCCAGAACTTACAGGCAGCGCGCCCAAGATTCTGAGGTGAAGGTAGTCTCTCTTTTAAAATGTCGGTTATAATCCAAATTATTTTTGTAGGTTATTTTTGTAGTGTCATTTGTTTTTGAAATAGGCCAAATTATGGGGCTCTCCTCTCCCTCAGAGCTTACAGGCGGCGCGCCCAAGTTTCTGAGGTGATGGTGGTCTCTCTTTTGAAATTATAATTGTAGGTTATTTTTGTAGTGTCATTTGTTTTTTGAAATAGGCCAAATTAATTATGGGGCTACCCTCTCCCTCAGAGCTTACAGGTGGCACGCCCAAGTTTCTGAGGTGATGGTAGTCTCTCTTTTGAAATGTCGGTCATTATCCAAATTATTATTGTAGGTCATCTTTGTATTGTCATTTGTTTTGAAATAGGCCAAATTATGAGGCTACCCTCTCCCTCAGAGCTTACAGGCGGCGCGCCCAAGATTCTGAGGTGATGGTAGTCTCTCTTTTGAAATGTCGGTCATTATCCAAATTATTATTGTAGGTCATCTTTGTATTGTCATTTGTTTTGAAATAGGCCAAATTATGGGGCTACCCTCTCCCTCAGAGCTTACAGGCGGCGCGGCCAAGATTCTGAGGTGATGGTAGTCTCTTTTTTGAAATGTCGGTCATTATCCAAATTATTATTGTAGGTCATCTTTGTATTGTCATTTGTTTTGAAATAGGCCAAATTATGGGGCTACCCTCTCCCTCAGAGCTTACAGGCGGCGTGCCCAAGATTCTGAGGTGATGGTAGTCTCTTTTTTGAAATTATAATTGTAGGTTATTTTTGTAGTTTCATTTGTTTTTGAAATAGGCCGAATTAACTATGGGGCTACCCTCTCCCTCAGAGCTTACAGACGGCGCGCCCAAGATTCTGAGGTGATGGTAGTCTCTCTTTTAAAATGTCGGTCATTAATCCAAATTATTATTGTAGGTTATTTTTGTGTTGTCATTTGTTTTTGAAATAGGCCAAATTAATTATGGGGCTACCTTCTCCCTCAGAGCTTACAGGTGGCGCGCCCAAGTTTCTGAGGTGAAGGTAGTCTCTCTTTTAAAATGTCGGTCATTTATCCAAATTATTATTGTAGGTCATCTTTGTACTGTCATTCGTTTTGAAATAGGCCAAATTATGGGGCTACCCTCTCCCTCAGAGCTTACAGGCGGCGCGCCCAAGTTTCTGAGGTGATGGTAGACTCTCTTTGGAAATTATAATTGTAGGTTATTTTTGTAGTGTCATTTGTTTTTGAAATAGGCCAAATAATGGGGCTTCCCTCTCCCTCAGAGCTTACAGGCGGCGCGCCCAAGATTCTGAGGTGAAGGTTGTCTCTCTTTTAAACTGCCAGTCGTCAACCATAGTATTATTGAATTTTCATTTTCCAGAGTTCATAGTGGCAACTTCTTTATAGTTTTACGTGATTTGTGTCAAAAACAATACCAGGTTAACAAATTTATTCTACTTTATGCGTGGTGCGACAATCACCGTGGCTGACTGGCCTCCAAAGTTCCTTTATAATTTGGACGCTTCTCAGGAGTTCCTTCACTGGCTGTAATCCAGAATTGGCGATTCTCAGCAGCTTGAAGCTCTTGCATTGCATCAGTTGGTCCATGGACGGCGACCTTTTCTTGTCCCGAGTACAATATCGATTCTCGATTCTCGACTCTCGATTACCGTATCTTGCTCGTGCAAGGCTTCGGCAACGGGACAAGTACTAAGACCATTGCAGGAAAACTGTTTGGTAGAAGAAGAGTAAAATGGTGGCTTTCGGTGAGTTACCTGTCTGATGCTCGGTATATCACTGCCAAACTGCGCAACAGAATGTGCGAAAAAACCCACCGGTACTTGAGAAAATACGATTTTTAATATCCACCTAAAAACCTGAGCGATGTGATTTAGTAACTTATTCATGGTGTTCAGCTTCCGGTTTATTCAGCTTATTGCCAGTTGTAGGCAAAGTTCACGCGCACATTATCGCACTCTAACTGGGTCGATTGTGAGGAAACTGTTATGTCAGTCATTGACTAAAAAGCCCCGCGCGTTAAGTCTTTGTGCGACGGACGTCCCTTAGAAATATAAATTGCCCACACTGATCGCCAATTCTACTTGCAAAGTGTTGCTGATTGAGTTGTGTAATGTATTCTAGAGAGTAAATTTAGTACTAACCTCGCAGACAAGGATGCAATGAGACATTTATTTGCGTAGTTAGGCCTGCTATCCATTGGGCAAGCATCCCCTTTATTTTCTTTCGATAGCCTGTCCATGCACTAACCTTTGGGTACAGAAACTAGCTGCCCTTCGCAGTATCAAAACTTGATAGTTTTGGCGTTCAATACTTTTAACGGATGCTCACAAAACACCGGGACTGCATCGTGCGCCTTTGGCGCTTTGGTACCCTGCGAGCTTTGGTTCATCGCGTTTTGAAAGATGGAAATTTTGATATTCCCGCGTAAAAGAAGACTGATAAAACGTGTCTTTCATTGACTACAGCGAAACGCCCGGAAATGACGGATGTTTTGAAAGAAACGGGAAAACTGATAAAATTAAATATTTGTTTTGATAAGTGAAATTAATGAGAAATAACCATAAACTAGTTTTGTTTTTTTGTTTTTTAAAAGCGGTTTTTCTGGTACCAGATTTGTACAATTACTTTCAATCAAACATCGATCGGGTTTTGTTAATTATGACAGAATGTAATTAAAAAGCATTATGTTGACAGCTACAAGGCACATGCTTGCCTTAAGCTGCTAGTATCCCGCCATGTTTTAAACAAAGGGTTCTGACCAAGCCGGCATTCTAATCCGCCACAAATATGTGAAGCACGCGTCTTTCAAAGTCGCCTAGTACTTAAAATCGGGGCTCTGGCCTGTTATGCTCCTAGCCGCCTTTTTTCCTAGACCTCTCACTGTCGCTTGAACAGTAGGCTTTGCAACCTCACACTGATGTTTTTGGTTAGCCTCAGTTGTAGAACTTTCTATTGCGCATTTTTCATAGCAAAGTGTTAACTGTGAAGACAGGGTTGACCGTTGGTAGTAAAATGGCCAAACATAAGCAGTAAAGAGAGTTATCTATAAAATTAACCCTAAAAAAAATTGGTTCCTAAGATTTGCCGATCTCTAGTTAAATTAATATCTTTAGACCTGTTATGTGTCTTGCTTCGCCGCTAATGTAGACTTAATGTGGTTACTTGTGGCGACACATTTATTGTGTTACGTTGGGCCAGGCCACTTTAAGTTCATAACGAGGGTCGGGAGTCTCCCTTGTCCTGCCTTTTGAAGGAGGAGTTAAACGCTATCGGTTTCAACTATTATTTCGGTTTGTGCATAGAGCGATGGCCGTAGGAGGAGATCAAAACTAATAGGAAGTTTTAAGACAACAATAAAACTCCATGAAGAATACCGGACCCTTTGGTGGATACGCGAAGTTCACTTTGCGGCAACCGGAATTTCTAATCTAAGTATCAGTCCACGAGTTCCACTCAGTTAACTTTGATTTTTTTTTTTGGCCATAAAACTGGCGAAGATATTTTTCCAATGTGCAAATCCCTTTTCTCGGCTTGGTTTGATCCGACCGCCAATGAAGATTTTTCATTAGTATTCGGTGAGCATGTTACTTTCGTGGGGAACGAGGGAGAAATTTAACACAAGCAACTTAACTCCCCCCCCCCCCCGGCTCCATCCCTCCTTTCCCTCCTACTAAGACTGGCGGCTAAAACCTGCAATCGGTTTTTAATTTTGTCGCAGCATCATTGTAGGCGCTGCCAGCGACTAAGTCGTTGGTACATTGGCTGCATGTCATGCAGAACCAGGCCACCATAGAGGAAGAAGACGCTCCTAACTAAACTAACGACTGAAATATCAAGTTACCGCATAGAACCGACGGACAAGTTTGCCACACATATGTTGAAGGAACCTTGTAACGGATTTAGAAGCAAACAGGCGCCAACACAAATACAAGGTAAAAGTCGTTTTAATTTTAATTCGTTACAAAACGAACATATGTCAGACTGCTGAGCAATGAGAAATTTTACAATTCCTTCTGAACTGCGCCCCAACCTTTCAATTTTTTAACAACAATCCCTGCTCCTTTGCGTAGGGGTTCTCACAAACTGCCCCGCCCTCCATCCACAATGACATTCGTATAGTGCTTTAAAGTGTCTAATCTTGTATAACTAACGAAACCGACCTTTTGGATCCATATGGAAAATGCAGCCTTGTAGTCTTAATAGCGAACAGTTTGATAGGCCCAGGTTTATAGAGGTGACTCCCGGGCCACCCTTCTCGCCGAGCCAACTTTTCATTAACATGTTAACGGTTCGGCACGTTTTGTTGGAATTGGGAAATGCACAGGGCACCCAACGATAGTTTCCTCCTAAATACGTGGAAAACACTTTTGGGCTATCCAGAATAGTTTTATATATCTAGAAATGCATTCTAAGCAGTGCTATAAAATTTGTATCTGTTTGGTCATCCTAGGGAAAAATGAGTCTTTTCGGAATTATAAGGGCTTCAGTATTATTTTCCCGAAAATTTTAGATGCAATTTAATGAATTACGATAGTGAGACATTTTCTATTCCTCTCGCCATCACATTTTTGAATCCGAAAATTTTAGGTTCACTTTTTTCTACGAAAAAGAGCCTAACTTAGGAAGTAAAGTGTGAAAGTCTGAAAACCCGTAGGGAATTTATAAGATAAGCTTCGAAAGTTGCAAATAGCTGTAAATTAAATGAACGGAACGGTCAGTTAGACATTTGTGGCAGTCCTCAAGTAATAGAAAACTATAGGCAATATTTGCTCTTCCGAACATATATTTTACAGAAAACAGTCGTTAGGAAACCCTGAATGTAGGATAATTTGGCTAACCCAGGGTAGCTCGAGAAGGCGAGTAACCCTTCCTTACAAGGAGGGAGGGTTACCCTTGTGCTGGGGTTACCCTAGCAGGCCGGTTTAAGTTAGCTCTGGTTTACAAGCAAATTTCACAGGGAGGGTTACCCTATCACCCGGGTCAACTTTACCAGCTTTGCTGACGTGTTTTGTCATGCGAGACATTCTTTTTAACGTCCAAGATTTGAAATAAACTTGAAGTTCTCTATGGAAAACACGTTAAATTCACGAAAATAGGGAAAATATTATCATCGTATACAGAAAATAACTTTTTACTTTTCAGATGTTTATAATTAAGCTCAGAAATTGGATAATACCGTTCAAATTGGCACGATTAGTAGTCACGCATGACCGCGAAAGTTGACCGGGGTAGGCGAGCTATCCCTAGCTTAGCGTTTACAAGGCAGGTAAGATAACCCTCTTGCTAGGGTAATCCTAGCACTCAGGTAGGGTTACCCTAGCGCTAGGGCAATCCTAACTGTCTTGCAAACACGTCGTGTGAAAAAAGAATATGCGAGTGCTATAGGTTAACTCTCCTGCTTGGGTAACCATAGCACCAGGGTTACCCTCCCTTCTTGTGAACAGGGCCTTAGACACAGTTATCAACAAAACCATGTGACATTTGACAATTCTATGTATTGTTATTCAGTTGGCTAACTTGGTGGCCTCCCCCTTTCCTGGCGTGCTTTAACTTCGTTCATATAAAACAAATCCCGAATCTAAAGATCGAAGCTAAAGAGAAATAGCGCTAAACATGTTGAAATATCACAGGTTCTTACTTTATACGTTCACTCAGTAAGTCGCATCCTAGTTTAAACGTACGTGTCTAAAATAACTTAAATGTGGACAATACATTAAAGCTAATGAAAAGTATCTTTAAGTACTAAGCCTCCTTGTGAATCGTTCACAGTATACATTAGGCGTGATACATAGCATATTTATCTCCTGTAACGCAAGTTTAGCGTTCCTGCCCAAGGGATATCGCAACCGACCATTGACGGGCGATGGAAATGGCGACAACGGCGCAGCTTTTAAAATTCTCGACCAACAGCACAACCGACCCATCTCGTCTTTTTTCATGTCTTCACTTCGTACATTGGGTTCATAAATGTTGTGGTTGTCGGTTTGAAGATCGGATTCTCAGCCTAGTGTATAAATTAAAGAAAAATAACAAAAGAAAAACAAGTCTTTGGTACTGATAGAAATTGGCAAGAGCTGGGTTAAATTACTGCGAATTCCGCGTAAAACATGAAATGCCACTAATTATTTTCGCACACAAGTGTTAGCCTACTCGCCTTTCGATTGTGATTCTGTCTGGTATTGGTATCCAATTCTTCTTAACAGAAATGTTTTTAAACAGCCACAGTAATAAGGTATAATTTTATACCGAATCTTTCCTTTAAATTTGTTTAATCAGTAGGGTTCGTTAAAGGGTTGCTCTACCTAGATCTGATGGCCTTATTTTAAAACAAAATACACAAATTCTCTGGAAACTTACCACAACACGCTTTGCATTCATTTGCTCCTTTTCAAACTGCGCAAATGCTCTTCGATCCTAGAAAAATCAACAATTAGGACTTAATTTAGGCGCCAATTGCAAGCACTGTTGTTGGCTCCTGTGCGTTGGCAGGGCGATTTCCAAAAAAGGTAGTGTTCGTGATTGCACGACTTTTGAATGGCTTTTCAAGTTTCGTTTGATTTCAAAGGTCGTGCAGTGGTAGAAATGATGTTAAGCTTGCGTACAAGCATCTTCTTTTCATTACGGTTGGTAGGACATAGGGTTCGTGTGTAACTTCCGCGATAGAAGAAAAGACTATTTTATCCTCAAAGCTTAAGAAAGTGAAGGGTATTCAATCCGTCTTGATGCCACACGAGTTTGAACTTATTAAAGCTTTAAAATATTCATATCACAAGAAGTATGCCGTGTTGTTTGGTGCTGACAAGGAGAGAATAGTCTTATAATCAGAGAACGTACGTTTCTTTACAGGGTACAATTAATTTTTAAATTCTAAATTTTGACTTCAACTTTATGCTCACTTTAATTATTGTAACATGGGCGTAAAGCTACCACTTATTAATGTGCACATTGATTAAGAAATGTTCTTAGAAATGATGATAATAATAAAAAAATTATTATTATTATTATTATTATTATCATATATTTAATAGTGGCAGCTCACAGTGAAGTGCATTTGACTCAAGCAAATCCGACTGAGCCAGAGGGTGTGGACGAACATTGCGTGATATAAGCCTACCTGAATGGTGGCTAACACTCTCCATATAAGCAACAAAGCCAAGGCTACAGCTAAAACTGCTCCTATGACGCTAACAATTGTTGTTGTTGTTGTTGTTCCTAAAATGGCATTCATCGCGGCTAGACAGTCTAGAATGGAAATGCAACGAAAGCATTTTTAGTAACTCACAAGGCTTACAAGAAATAACCTTGCCATTGATGTGCAATAATCTCTCAAACTTCACAGAGTGAATTATCATTTCAGTCACTTAAACAATCAAACGCCGCCAAATCCCCGGTACTATTTTTTTTGTCTTTAAAGTTGGCTTAAAGACCTTTATTTTTCTGGGTAAAAATCTTGAGTTGACCGTCTGGTCCTTCCGTGAAGGCGAAGGTCAGGTAACAGTCCTCTTCATCCAGAAAACGACATTGCTTACCCATGTCTAACAGATAAAAACAACAGAAAGAAATAAATTGTTTAGCCTACATCAGTTTGGAAAATAGCATGGTAAGATTTTCACACAGTTCCTTTTAGTACACTCATATCTGAGTTCAAGATGGCTGGATATTGGCCAACTGGTCTTTATTACTTTGCTTTTCATGGACCAAGACGCAGTCGTCTACAAGTAGATCAGTAAAAACGCCACAAAAAAAGAGCGCGCGTAGCATTAGAATCGCATGAAAAGTGTCAACGAGATGACTTACCAGGTGTAAGCTTATCTACTGGAGTAATGCTGTAATCTTTGCAAGTTCTTGAACACTGGTCTTTGTCTAATTTCCCCGTGCCAAACAAACGGCACTCCACGCATGCCCGGTTGGCCTCGCAAGTTCCAGTGCAGCCCTGCAATACAAATAGGTCCGCAATGTGCATGTAAGCAAGTTAACAACAAATAGTATTTTGTACAATAATATGATACGTTTTTATAGCGAAGCACTCTCCTCGTGGGGTGGGGTAGTCGCTTGCACTAGGGTCAATCGCTCTCCTTCCTATCTTTTCGGCCAAGGTGAATAAAACCCTCCTAGATCTGCATAATTCCTCATGGCATACTCAGCCTCATTCAATAGCTTTTAATTGATCTATAATTAGTCGTGTTCTTGGGTTTGCTAGAAGATGGTAACCTGTGAAAGGTCAGGAGCCGAGACCAGAAGGGTTCCCTGCGGTGCACTTACCACGCAATCATCGCAGAAAGTTCCCCTGTAGGGCAAAGTAGCATTACAAACACATGCCCCGCACCTGCAGATTCCTCTGCCGCTACAAACCACCTAAAACGATAGGAAAAATTTTATCGTTGATGTGAACAAAGAAGTAATAATTTGAGCCTTTTGCTTTTGTTTTTTTTTCCTCACGGAGTTTTGACAACCAGGAGACCTGCAAGAATATTTTCTAATAAAGTCTAATAAATGCAAATTACCAGACGACAAACTATTCTCAATAGTTGGGAGATATAACCATTATGTTTTTAGTGAATACTTTAAGTATTTTTTATTATGGGCACGTGACCACTTTCTCACACCTTCAGTAGCGAAGCTCCACACGGCACCATGGGTAAGAAAATCTGGTAACATATGGGTGCTTCAAGGCTGAAAAACCGTCCCTGGAGGCTCTTGGGAAAGGGAGTTTTGAGAAAACAAGTAGAATGCTCAGGTAACATTTTTTGGCGGGAAATCGCACCATGCTCTTTCGCATGATGACCGTCTTCGACTTAAAACAGCAGTGGGGTTTATTAACTTTCTTCCCCTGAATTAGAGAGGGGGGCTTAAGGTGATTCCTTAGTAAAAAAAGAACGTAACATAGATTGTAGATGAAACTTGGTACACTGATGTAACAAGTCAAGAAGATGATAAAAAGTAATAAAAAGTGCGGGTCACCGTGCTTGTTTTGACGACAAAATGCTGACAAATACGGCTATTTAGGACCCTTTTACAAAAACCGCGGGCAGCCCAAAACTAGACAAAAGGAGAGATTTTTTAAATGATGCATGTGTTATTGCACAGACTTTGACTTAAATGCATTGTTTATTCATTTACGTACCAGAAAAATGCCTTTAATGCCCTTTGTTTTTACTTTACGCTCCCAAGTAGAATTAAATTGGACACGCGCTATTCGATCCGTGATAGCTCAAACCAAACAATTTAGTAAAATTGCAAAAAAACTGAACATACATTTGTGCCAATTTTTTTCTCATCGAAAGGAAGCACTGTCCTTATTAAAATCATGAAATAAAAAATGGGGTCACTGTTCTCGTTTTTGCGGTAGAGCTGCAGAAAGTAGGCACCAAATGCATTTTCCTTGATTTTTGAGAGAGGACTGGAGCGAGTTTCAAAATAGAATGTATGTGAAAGGGGGAAGAAAGTATTAAAAAATCCGTTTTTACAGAATTTACTTTGAGATATCAGATTTAGGACACAACGTGATAAAGAAAGCGTTTAAATGAAAATCAAAGTGAGTAAGCACAAGTTAAACATCCACTATCGAGGTTCTCCGTGAGGAAGTCGAACTCAGCAACACGCCTACTGCTTACGTTATGCACATTCCCAACACATTGAGTCTCACCTCGGCAAGGAACAACGGCAAGCAAAAATTCCAACTAGCCAACTTCATTTTAATAATGTTGCATCACATGCTCTTTTTTACGGCGGCCATCTTGTTATGGGCAGTAAGAGATGCGCAGTGCAAAACCAGGGAATCAGCTTAATAGAGGATTTACGGTAAGTCAGATAAATAAACTATAACTGCTTTTCTATATTCGCTTGACAAGTGCCTTAAACGTCTGCTCTTTACTTCTAATAACGACAAAATATATACATGTTGCTTGTGATCATTTTTCTAGTTTAAGACTTACCCCATTCTTAGTGCAGCTCTCTAAATCTCTACTGCAGCTACATGAGGGCCCTGTCCAATTCCTCTGGCATTTGCATTGTCCGCAGTCGCAAAAGCCACGCTCTGTGGGATAAGATAAGTAATGTAGATTCTTACATTGATGTTAAAAAGGGATCTACCCATAACGTCACATAAATGTATATAAAACGCAACTGGCAAGGTAGGCTGTTTAGATTGGACAGATTTCGACTAATTGAATCGCAGTAACCGCAACAGAAGTTTGCAAAAAAAAAAGGGGGGATATCCTCGCATTATGTTAGGGTAAATGTGCAAATGTTTTGTTCGTTTAGCTCCTAGCCATCCTCGTTATCATAATGCATAATTGTTTTATATAGAGAGGATATTACATGGCCGCGCGGAGATACGATTTTTCTCTTCGAAAGTTGCAGCGCGAACGAGTGAAATATTTTTTCAACACGAGAAGAGAAATTTCGTATCTCCAAGCGGCCATGTAATGTTCTATTTATTATATAAACACCTATGAAATACAAAACCATTTTTCTTTAATAGTTTTTTGGTCTGAAAGGCGCGATTTATTATGAAGCCATAGCAACGGTGATATTTTCACACGCGAAGATAACATGTTATTTTCACATGTCAAGATGTCAAGTTTTCTCCAAAGCTCACCTGGTATTTCATTGGTGTTTATATAATAAAACAATGTCTTCTTTTCTCTGTATAAGCTGTCGGAAAATGTAAAATCAGTCTCTGTTTGGATGCAATAATAAAAGATGTTATTTTTGTTGTTGTTGTCGTTGTTGTTGTTTGTGTGTTTAAAAAGGAGGTACGCTTACTTTGACATGGGATATACTATAATTTAGTGGATATGATTTACTAAAGTATATCATTAAAAACTTTGATTCGTTTAGGATAATGCAACGGAAATCAGAAGTGGACCAAAAGATTTAGAAAGGGGTACTCGGAACACTTGCTAGTTATATTAGCTTCTATTTATTTTAATCAGAAGTTTTGAAAATGATACAAAATTGTACAAAAAAGGGGGCCTCCCTCAAACCACTCCTAAATCCGACCTCTATGGAAATGGTTGAAATAAATGTGAGATTTTTTTTGTTTCACTGAATTATAAGGATATAACAGTGACCTATTCTTTGTTCTCAGATAGTCTGAATTAGCTGCTCAAGCCATGTACGTATAGCGGAATCTCATGAGCCTCTATATAACGAACTCCTCGGTATAGCGAACAATTTCCTCTACCCCAGAATAGTAGAAAAAGGAAAAGAAACTCGATAACGAAACCTGGTCATAGCAAACCATTTTTGCTACTCCCTTAGCCCTTCTTTACATCGAGGTTTCACTGTAATACAATAAACGGTGTGGAAGTACACGCCCCTTGTCAAGCCTACCTGAGCCTCCACATATTTCTCCATTATCTGGGTCTTTGGGACAACTGAAGCTATCGCACTCACACTCGTCACCATGGATCAATCCATTTGAAACCTGTATTGAGAAGGAATGAATAATTAACCCTGAGTATTTTACTTGAAATTCCCGAGTAACGGATTAGCGGTCTTGGTTCGTTTCTTGAACCAGCCCTGAACAACATAATCCAACCTTGTTAAAGATAATCTACCCTTCAATTTGGATCAGTTTGCAAAAGAATTGAATATAGTGAAGAAATATAAGGCCTTGGGTTTTTCGTTTGAAATAGATCGGATTAAATTAACCGGGAAAAGCGAAGAAAGCGTGACGATGAAATATTGAATACGTTGGTCAATAGCAGTGCCAGATCCAGACCTTGAAAAAAGGGGCCGGGGGGGGAGGGGGCGCTCTCCCAAAAATGTTTTTCGCCCCTTAGGGCCTCAGTTTGGTCTATGGATCCGCCACTGAATAGTAATTTAAGATGTGACTTTCATCTTGTCGTCTCCTGCTTACCGATCTTGTGATCCCAATAATAAGGGTAGATCGGAAATGGATTGGCACCCAAATTATCCAAGGGGAAGTGGTTACAATCCCGTGCCCTTCAACTGCTTAATAAACGCGAATCGGGAAGCTTTGGCCATATGGGGCGCGTGTGATAAGTCATTTTCATTTCCAACAAAATTATAAAGACTTACCTCGCTGTTATTGCAGTAGCATTTTCCACATCTACAGGTTCCTCGGCCCCTACATGTCTGGCCACTACTGTCACTAGGATCAACACAAAGTGTCAATAGTATCAAAAGTATATTAGACAACGAACAAATAGGCAGCCTGATGTAATTTTTCCAAGGCGGTCTCACCTCTTTCGATTCTCAGATGGCGAATAGAGTTGAGAAGAAGAAAGACCCTGCTACCGGAACTGGTTTAAGTGGTACAAAACCAAAAATTGCAGTGGTATCTACACCTGATGCTGTTGCGAAATTTAACTGATTGAATCCAACTAATTTTTTTTTATCCATTTCCATTAGTTTTATCATTATATATTATATTCAGTGTGTGTGCTGCTTATTCTTAGTCTTTGCTTTTGGAATAAATGACCATATTTCCTTATGAAAAATTGTTATTGCATCTGCGCGTGGCGTGTCTTATTGGAAATTATGGACACAAACACGGAACCTTGGCACACAAAAGCAAAAGCTTACATTGGCAGTGAGGCAACCCAGTTATTAAAATATTGACGTTAAAACATACAAATCACATGGTCCTATGATTTGGTCTTGAAGAAAGATGAATTTTGGTAAAAAAGAAAGCCATAATCAACTTTTTCCAGGAAAAGGTACACTGCCAACAGTCTCTTATTTTCCTCCAAGACACTGGGGTAGCTTGCGCCGCCAACCTCGACGGACCTGAGAAAAAAGGCGGACTGGAAAGAGTCTAAGATAAAGGGACAACCCAGCGCAAATCGTTTAAGTCGCCATGCATTTTTGTTAGTAAGGGAGTGTTTTCTTTTTTTAAGAGGATGAGTTGCAGGACGATTAAATGATTCAGAAGCTTTAGAGCACAAAAACAGAAGACTGAAACACTGTCGCAAGTGCTTATTTAAATTGGAGTGAAGTCAGTGAAAAATGAATACCTTGGACATCCCTTACTCACTTCTTCTTTGGTACATGAACAGTTCTCTCCGGCCCTGAAACAGGTAAAATTACAAAAGTAAAATACAATATAAAGAAGTGAAATAAAAGACGGTCTACTTCAAATCCAAACTTAAATGTATTGATTATTCTAGGAAAAAGGCAAATTTGATTCTTTACCCATGTCATGGGTATATCATTGGAAATGGCGCATGCACTTAACAGCACTCAAATCTTCCATCAATTGATCTCAGTGGTGAGTGAAGAAAAAGACGAGGAACACCTTTCAATTCAAGACTCTCGGGAAGTGATACTCATCAACTCTGCTTTTCATACAATTTTCATTTCGGAAATGGTCTCAGCCCTACAACGCAACAGCGTCTTGCAAATTAGCCAGAGAAAACAGCCAACATTTTGCGACACCACCACTGGAATGCCCGCGAAACGACGTCTGAGAATCGAAACGAGCGCAGAAATTCCATACTGATGACGCGACACCACCCAGGTCTGGGACGTGCTTCTAACTGGCTGAAGCAAATTTTCAGCCAGTCAGAACTACTTCCCAGATCTAGGTAGTGTCGCGTCATCAGTATGGAATTTCTGCTCTCGTTTCGATTCTCAGACGTCATTTCGCGGGCATTCTAGTGGTAGCGTCGCGAAATGTCGGCTGTTTTGTTAGGCGATTGGCAAATCGAATGCTTTTTTTTAATGCACCCACTATAATCTAAATGTTCCATCGGAGAGAAAGTACAAGTAGAACACCCTGTATCTAATCATAACTCAGTAGACTTACCATTCGTCCTGACAAGAGCACACTCCACATTTCAAATCACCTCTCATATTACACCCACTGCTACTGTGCTTTATCTGCAAAGGAAAAAGGCAATAAACCATTTTAACTTGTATGTTTTGTTTTCCCATTTCAGATCATGTAATACAATAGGGCCATTTATACGAGGAAAAACAAGGCGCGTCTTACAGAAGACGCGAACTGTACCATTTATACGAGCATGTCTTATTTTAGACGAGAACAGCTCTTATAAATGGCTCGCGTCTTATTTCTGTTCTTGACTCGTTTTCATGTGAATGTTGCCCGTAGCAACGGCAATCCAACGTGGCGCGCCAACAATTTACGCATGCGTACTTTGCGTTCGCATCTTATGTAAGACGTGAAGGTCATTTATACGAAGTTTTTCTCGTCTTAGCTAAGGCGCGTCTTATCTAAGAACAGGTGTTAAGGGCTTTTCTAAAATAAGACGCATCTTAGCTAAGCCGCGACTTATTTTAGACGAAATGTGCCGCTTATACGGAAAGTTCGCGTCTTATTTAAGACGCGTCCTATGTAAGACGGGTCTTATTTTTCTTCGTATAAATGGCCGTAATATCTACCTGGCCGAGCGCGCGTTCCAAAGGGAAGGACAAATCCCTTTTCTCTTCCCTTTTAATGCCTGACAGTTATGGATATTGGTGCATATTCCGGTGAGCTTCTGGTTAGAACCTTAATACCTTTTAAACTGACCCTGACTTAAACTTGCGGTATTCTGCGCCACCTTGAGTAAACTCAACCGCTTCGATTATATGCGCAAAATCAAGTAGGCTAATTGTCTGTAATATCAAGAATGCCGAAAAATATTTTTGTGGCGCAAGCGGGCTGTGCTAACTTCGAAAGTGGTTTTTAATGGCATGGCAACTTCTAATCATGGATTTTTTTTCCCAGTTATTAGCACCTTCGTCCTTTTGAATTGTGACAAACAAAAATCTCTTGGTTTCTAAACTAAAGATTACGTAAATGAAAGTTATTGTGATTTATCAAAAATACACACAAGCCTTAGAAAATATTTTCAAGAATGCTGAAAAAAACTTTTTCTGCGCAAACGAGCTGTGTTAACTTCGAAAAAGTTTAAGTTTAAGTTTAATAATTCTTTTTACCAATGTACAAAATAAAAATATATATACATATATAAAAGTACAATAGGTAAAGGAAAGCAATAGGGGGAAACTGAATTCCCATATAAAAACTGCCCTCCAAAACGAAAAGATAAAACAATTAAGAATAGAAAACTAATACATAACTATACTATAAACTACTTAGATATTAAATAAAAAAGAAAATCCAAATTCAGTAGGAAATGGGAAACATATGACTATTTACAAAGATAATTAAGTAATAAAGTTTTAAAAGAGTTCAAACTGGAAGCAGACATAACGGAGTTTGGTAAACAGTTCCAGTCATTAACTTAACGATTAAAAAATGAAAATTTAAAATAGCTTGTCCTTGCTGCTCTAGGCCTGATTTTAAAGTCATGGTTTCTTCTAGTTCTTGTCGGGCCAGTCAGATCCACATATGTGGTATAATCAATATCAGAATAGCCATGAATTATCTTGTAAAGTTGAACCAGGCAAAGGTATTTTCTTCTAAGCTCCAATGTTGACCAGTTTAGTTCAGTGAGCCTTTCAGTGTAAGAATTATGAGATCCACATATCAATCGAGTAGCACGACGCTGAATGGATTCAATACTGTGTGTGTGTTTAACCAAATATGGATTCCACACTGGGCAGGCATATTCCAGAATAGGACGAACTAAAGCGATAAAAGCTGTTTTGATTGGCACAGGATCTTTTGACCCAAATGTTCTCCTTATTAGACCCAATACTCGATTTGCCTTACCAACAATGTAATTGATAGGAGCATCCCACCTTAAAGAAGATTCAATCCAAATGCCCAAGTGCTTATGTTTATCAACAGCCGACAGATTATTCTCATTTATCACATACTGATGAACGCGGATTATAATGGCATGGCAACTTCTAATCAAGGATTTTTTGCCCTGATTATTAGCACCTTCGTCTTTTTGAACTGTGACGAACAAAAGTCTCTTGGTTTCCAAACTAAAGCTTACGTAAATGAAAGTTATGGTGGTTTATCAAAAAAACACACAAACCCTTAGCTAGTTAAATGGCCTTAAAAATTGACATGATCACAAGTTTAAAAAACTCAACCTCTGATCGTTTGATTCCGCATGGCAAATGCAACGAGCATGTCGCAGGTTAAGCCCTCCATCTTAACGACACTTTGGGAATTACACCAAACAATGTAGAGGGAACTAAACGGTACCTTACGATTTGAATTTTTTTGACGCTGTGTATCAGCTTAAGTAATTAACGTAAGATTAAACAGAGTAGTGCATAACTTGAAACGAAACCAAACTTACCTTGCTCTCACAATCGCATTCACAAATGTAAGACAGCTTTAGAAACACTTGTCCGCATGGGGTTTTGATGGAAAAGCTGATTAACACAAGAAAAGGACAATTATTATTCTCAGAAACAAATGCCTTTTAATCAGATAAATTTAAAAAAAAATGCCGGGGATTCATAATGATTTTGTGCCATAACCTTTGTTTCTTAGACAGACTTTGGCAGGATTTGTTGATGGTTGGAAACTATTGGGAGGATTTATGACGTCATAAGTAACAAGCTTGCAAGCCATACTTTGGGCTTGTCAAAAAGCATCAAAAGCAGAAAAATGAATATTCATAAAATATTTTTCGCCTCAAGCATAAAATAGAGTGTTTTCACTCACGTGACCAGCATCGATGCAAATTTATTGGAACAAAAGAAAGCGTTTGCATAAGAAAGGAGTTCAACTTCCACAGGACCAGTTTGGGACACCAACATGGCCGCCGTTTCATTGTTTTGGGACACCAGTATGGCCGCCGTGACGTCATGTGAAAACACTCTATAGGCTTAGTTCCTAAGTATTTGCATAAACCTGATTTTTTAGTCAGATCCAAGATGGCCACCAACTAAAGCCCCCAACGGCGCCACATCACATAATGTTTATATCATCTTGCAGACTCGTCATAGATTATTTAACAGCCTTCCTAAATATAATTATCCTACAGCTAGCGAGAACCCTAATGCCTCTTTCCGAATTTTCAGAAAAGTCATCGCATGACCCATAATGTTTTAGAGTTGTACATGTGTAAGAGCTGCAGCTTGTATTAGCCAATAACGTATAGCTGTGGGGCTCACGTTTACCACGTATTAATCACTTTAAGTCACTGGAAGTTTTCTTTTTACAGTTATTTATAGTAGTTCAAGTGTCTGGGGCCAATCAGAAAAAAAATGCTGGCTCTACAATAAACATACCACAACTGAATGCGAGTACAAGTCGCCGGCATCAAAAGTGCGGTAAAACACATGCAAACGGCTGGTTTGGGCTTGCCTAGTTGCTTGAGATAAGGGCGCGAAAATTTCTAGCCAGTAACAGGGAAAAACAAAACCATGAAGGAAATACGCTGGGTTTATTTCAACACTCCTTGAACAATGTTCCATTAAGTACTCACTTTCTTGGTAATTCATCCGAGCATTTACTGGTTGATACAGACACCTTAAAGGAAACCTGCAGACAAATAAATCAAACACGACAAAAAAAAAAAGGACTGAGATACACACTTACTAAATTTAAATAAACTTGATAAACTGTTTGACTCGAAAGCCCAGGACAGACAGTCTAGCAAGTTGACTTTCTCCTTGGTTGCCGATTTTCAAGTAAAGCGATTAAATTTCGATTCTTTTTCCTCACAAGTGAAATAACTAACGTTATTTGTCACGCTTGTAAATAGTACTAAAGCAAAGTTTAACAACTACCGTAAAGTTCCCAAAGTAAAGACCCCCCAAAGGTAGCTACCCTTCGAAAGAAGAGATAAAATTTCACAGGTGTTAGCAAATGCCAAAAGTGGCGACCCTCCGAAAGTAGTGATGACTTCAAAATTGATTTCCCTTCTCGGTGGAAATAATGGAAATTATATATAGTTACAACAAGCTTTACCAAACTGATCCGAGATTTATCTTTTAACGGTTATTATGATCTTTGATATTCCTTTACGTAACTCAAAAGGTACATTACATCTCTTTTTTTCAAAGTCTTCCTTTCGTTTGTGAATAACCACAACGTAATGGAAGAATTCTTTTGAATATTTATTTAAAAAGCAATAACATGAAATAAGTTTCTCCAAATAAAGTGTGAATATTTTCACAATATCATCGTAACGTCGTACAGCCCATGTACGATACACGTTTTAGCTACCTGAAAGTAGCGACCCTCCGAAAGTAGCGATAGGAAAAGGCTGCTAAATCCGAAAGTAATGAGGGTCGTTACTTTTGGAACTTTACGGTAAGTCATCGAAATACTAACACGTTCGATAATTCTGTATTTGGCCACATTTTCTTTGTATTCAAGTCTCTTCTGTGATTTCGACACCATGTGTAGGTTATCATGTTTTGCTTTTTTTTGTTTTCGTTGCTCCGAGAGCTTCTCCACTTTCCCCTCTCCTCTCCTTTTCCTCAAACAATAACAGTTTAAAAATTTCAATTTCATCTTGAACGCACGAATACTGCAGCACTAGCTCGAAAGAGCGCTTAAGGACTCCTAACTGTTTCGTGGCTAAACAGATCACATTTAGCAATTTTAGTATGTGTAATCAAATGGTGACGAGTGAAATTAGGGAAGGTTTTAAGCGCGTTTTGTTAGGATTTGGACAAAACGCAAGTGAAATTATTTCCTAATTTCACGAGTATACTATTTGATTACCTTTTCATAACATGGGTGACGAATTACGTTCGCAATCGTGGGTTTTGGACATGTTTATCCTGGTTTTATCGTATCGATCGAGGACTCGAAGCTCTCGAGAGTTGGCTTAAGTTCAGAATTTTCCGAGTATTTCGACAAAATACCTCTTAGAATCCTTCATGATGTGCTCTGTCGTGTGCGGGTTAGGTTTTCTAAAGCTTCTTTTAATGCCCTCACATCTCAATTCATCGAATTCTAAAACTTCGTCAGCGCTATCTTGGCATTAGGCAACTTAAGATAGAGACGTTTTCGGGGCGACGGCAACTTCAACCGGACGTGACATCATCATTTGTTGGATATTGCGCATGCTCGTGCTCACCACCTTGCCGTCGTGGTCCCGTCGGCGACGTGAAACTGGTCTGTTTGGCGTTGTGGCGAAAACGTGAGTATTTAACTTTCATTTCAATCAGGTTTGTTGCGTTTAGCAACCAACATTTTGCAGATTATCGTTCTTAAATTGTCCTTGTTTTCTTTGAGGCACATTTCAAGCTCGATTTCCAAGCTCTGTTATCTAAACTTACATCTTTGAATGTTTCTATGTTTTCATGTCACAGGGTCAAGATCCAACTTGGCAAACAGCCAACCGTAAGTGAGCTTGACATGGGACAAAATTTTCCCACGAGCCAAATAATAGTATCCAGACAAAAAATATGAACTCCGATATTTTAATTGTGTGTTTTTGGTTCGCTCTTTTCGTAGGAATATCGTATAAATGAAACGCATTGAAAATTATATAGAATAGTAGGTAATACCATGTACTAACTCGGCGTGGGAATACCGAAATAAAGTTGTTGCCGTTGTTGTTGCTGCTGCATGCAAGTATTTCCCGGGAATTATTTCAATACCAAACTAAGAATACGGTTCCTTGGTAGCATTTTAATGTTCCTGTAATTTAAAAGGCTTCGCAAGCCTGTGGAGATCATTTTTTTTCAACGCGAAATTCTGCCTTGAACTCAGCTGCATCCCGCATGTTTTTTAGCGTGAACGGATCGTAACTGTCCCGAGGAAAATCGGGATTTTTGGACTCATAATTTTCCCACAAAACGAGAAACTCTTCATCCGATACATGTTGTCTGCATAGCAAATATTTATTCTCTTAATTCTTTATGTGAAGCCATATTTTCCTCTTCGGTATTCTTCTAATTAAAGGCGCCGTCCTTCTGAGTTCACTGCGATCTTAATGTTCTATTTTTGACGGGGAGCGACGGCTGCCTTAGTTCCAGGCTTTCTCTGCCAGTCCGGTCGCCGTCGCCCCGAAAACGTCTCCATCTTAAGTTCTCTATTGAGACGTACGGAAGGTTGCCATGGTAATTCTATAATTTCACATGATTGTGAAATTATAAATTGACGCTGAAATTTCACGTCAAAATTAAGGAGAAATTCGTCACCCATAATATTATAGATAAAATACCGTTTCTCCTAATTCAACACCAGTACATGTTCTTGTGTTTTCATAAACCTTTCCTTTCCTAATAAAAAAAAACAACACGTAAAAAGCATTCAAGTGTTAGTTGAGGACCGCAAATGGAGGATGGCGGATTTGTTTTGCATTGTTTGGCTTTAACTAATCTCATAAAAATGTTAAAGGAGGAAAAAATTTGCAATTTTTTCAGGTTTCCTTACAACTTAAGAGTGTGTCCATGAGAAGACCAGGCAGAACCAGGCAGGGGGTGATAATGCTCAAATCACCGATTTCGCTCAAACTCGGCACAAATGTTAGGTATCAGGAGTTAACTTATGTGAAAGAATGTCAGGTCCAAATATTAAATTCCCTGGGAGATTCGGGCTCCCCCTGTAAAAATCGCCATTTTGCCCGTTTTATGCATAATTAATTAGCTAACTTTACAATGCCAGTGCAACAAACAGAAAAGCCACCCTGAACTTAAATGCACTGAGAGATGATCTGAGTTCATAAGACTTTAAGCACGTTAAACTGTTTAAAGTCGCCGATTCATTCCTCCCTCTTAGCCCCCTTAGGTTGGGTCATCATTTCCAATTATTGAGTAAGTCGTAAAATTAGGGTATTTTATTCCCAAATATCTCTGATGAGCAACAGCTTATCTTTATAACTTTTGCATGAGTAGTTAAAGCCATCACTTAAGTTGAGAAAAAAGATCATAAAAAGTTTGGGCAATTCACTTTCTTCCATGTGTTGACATAAACTGTTCATGTGACTGAACGACTTTTGCATATTTCATCAAAATTCAGGCCCTCACAATATTCGTGTGTTTGCCTTTGAATGAGGAGAAATCAAACAAAAAAACTCATCAGACAATGATTTAACATTAATAAGGGTAAAATCGTTGAAATTGTTGTGCAAGAAACCCTAACGATGATTTTTGATAGCTATATAAGCGATCTTTTCAACTAAAAACAACATACAAAGATTTAATTCACAGTTTTACTTACGTTAACAATTTCGCCCTAAAAACAATATAAACGGTCAATAAAATCCATATACGTATCTCTTAGATGTTTCAACTGCTAGTTTGTGCACGCTTTGATTTGTTACCCATGCCACCCTCGATGTCCAGTTAAGCGTAGTTCAGCGCCGTGACTCGCTGTACGACTAAAATTCCTTAGCCATCAGTTTACGCACCAAAATCCAAATCAAGTTGTTTTAGGAGAAAACAATACGAAAAGTAGAAAGCCGATTTTTAACCCATTGAAAGAATTATTTCTGCCACTGTTGTAGCTCAATTCACATGTTACAAACGTCCGCCATCTTTGACATTAACTGGAGCCCGCATTTTTAAGCAGCGGTTGCCACCATACGGAAACATCGTATCGGGAGTCAGGAGCCAGGAGCCAGGATCCAGGAGCGAGAGTCCAGTGAACAAAATTCAGTCGAAAATATGACTTTCCGACATTCTTTGAGATTATTTTATTGTTATTGTATGCTAATAAATAATTTAGAATTCCAAATCTATTGGCAACTTTATTCAGACCATGATAATAAATGATCCCATGTCTTCTCAAACTCGAAGATAGAAGTCGCTTTGTCTTCGTGTTTTGGAAAGAACTATTTATTGTATTTTAGTCGCACGTGAAATAGCAGCGAAGTGAAGTCGGATCTTCGTGCAGACCAGTTCAAAGAGACAAATAAAGCGTGAGACACGTCCAATTTGGCTTGCGACAAGAATACCATTTTTTTTTTTCATACTGGAGTCCCTTCTCCCCAGGGAGTGGCCAAATTGCGTACAAATGCCCAACCCTGCTGGCACCAGATTTGACTGTCATAAACACTGAATTTTTATCTAGCACTGTCGTTTGCGGGTCTTATAAAGCCTAACTGTGGCAGTAATGTTCCCAAGTAGAACTCAAAATACACCACACTTTCACATTGAGTTAGATATTTTTCTCAAACAACCGCTTCCATATGTTTAACACCCTTCCCAAATTGTAATACAGTGGAAGCTCTCGTAAGAGGACACCCTCGGGAAGAGAAAAAGGCGTCCTTAACTGGAGCTGGCCGCTTACAACAATGAATCTCATACGGTAACTCTGAAACGGATATATAAGAATGATTCATAACAGTGACAAACAGCAATGACTGTGGACATGATATGAAAAAAAAAAAACAACAACAACAACATTAAGAGGTGGATAAGATTTTCTTTCGTGTGTCTGCTTACGAGAGCTTTAAATCAAAGCTAACATCTAATTCACCGGTAAACCCTTTAAGTGTCCGCGGTCGCCTACGGGAATGTAAAAATCCAGAGTTTGTGTGGAAGTTGAAACGGGATTTTGTGATGGCGGTCGTAAGTAGAGCTATTCGCTATATACGAGAGTGTCCGTTAAGAGAACTTAATCCACTGTATGAATCCGCAAATGACAGCTTAAATGAGAAGTTAATATAGTGTATTAGTCTGTGTTCAAGAAACTGTTCTTTTACACCTTCCTTGAATAGCTAAAGAAGTCTTGTCGACTTTTTTTGCAGTGTATTAGTGCCTCCTTTTGGGTCTTTTGTATTCCTCAGAAGTTTTTCCTCAACACTTTTATAAACGGTTATTATTATATTTTTGTAGTCAATAATATACCCAGATACAGATACCAACCTGTATAGTTGTAAGACTACAAGGATTAAAATACAAGTAAGTAAGTCAGTATACCCAATGGCAAGTCATTAATTGTCTAAAAATTGCACGGCACGGTCTGACTACGAAAAGGGCTATTATGGACGATTATTATCATGGTAATTAATGTCAACACCGAATAAACTCAAAATTTCAAGTAACACGACTTTCGCAACCTATTTTCAACACACCAGTTATAACAGGATATTGGCGCGTACAAACAATAGGTAGCGTATTCCGCATTCCGGAGTCCGGTAGTCCGGCGTCACAGATTCCATCGTTTTGGCAGAGTCCAAAGTCAAAGATGGAGGGTGTTCGAGCAGGTGGTTGTTTTCCGTAGATATAGACGGATTGTCAGTGATCTTTCTTGTCCTTTGAGAATGATTTTGTTCATTCTGACTACAACTTATTTCAAAGACTTCGAATGTTCGGTGAAAAGCCGACACTTTTAATTTTGCAATGTTTCAAGATGTTTCGATTTCATTACCTCGTCACGAAGTAACGCCACAGAGGACCAGACGAAACTGGAGCAGCAAATCTGAACTAAAGCATCTGAGAGACGTGTATGTAACATTTATTCACTATCTTTTATCCTTGTTGGGTCTTGTTTCACCTACAAGTTGGACCGATCGAGGTTTTGAACTAAATCTTTTGCTCCTTGTGTTTACTCAAGCGTTCCATAAAATATCCATCCAAACGTCCATAAATAACACAGAAAACATGCCTCAGGTGACACTTTCTAACAATTCCGCTATTAGTATCGACAATGAGGCATCTGATTTGTGACTTCTCGCCAACTTTGTGCTATTTTTGTTTAGAAAAACGAATGTTACGTTTCCTCGTATTTTGGTCAAATGACAAAAAAGAGTCAAGTCAGATGTACATAATACGTCATTATTGATAAAGTATGAGATTGCCCAAATATTTTATGATTGATTTGATAACCTTAAAGATGTCTTTCAAAGAATATGTGAGAATTAAGTTCATAGGTTGTTGCTCATGGGAGATGTTAGCCACTAAAATACCTTAAATTTAGGGTTTGGTCAAAACAGTTAGAAGATGTCTTTACTTTAGGCTAAATAATAGGAAGATATGGAATTAGAGAGTAAAAATAAATTACTGAGCATTAAGTCTGATAAACATAGAAGATGATAAAGTTGATTAGATTTGAAGTTGTCTTTTCTTCTTGTTGAACAGCCAAACCAAAGTTAGCTAATTAATTATGCAAAAATGAGTAGATTTTGTCGTTTTTAGGGGGGGTCCCTGTAAATCCCAGGGAATTCAATATTGCGACCTTATTTTTTGTCGAGGTTAATATCTCACCACACCCATCAATTGTGCCAAGTTTGAGCGAATTCCGTGATTTGAGCATTATCACTGCCTGCCTGGTTCTCTCATGGACACACTCTTAAAAGGTAATTGACCTTATCAAATTGGTTTCTGAATATGTTTTGTTTAAAAGGTTACAGCACTAGTCGAACAAGAAATTCATGCCGAAGCTCTTGGCTACACTGGGAAATTATTGTAAAAAGCTTGAAACTGGCTAGAGTAAAAAGATTGATTTTTGCTCTATAAGACGTTATATTTTTCTTTAAGTAAGGGTGTATTCATACTGTCGCTCAATTTTTACGTGCGCACGAACGTAAATTTTACGCGCTTAAATTAAATAAAGAAAATACCCAGTGAAAGGTCTCGCGTAAAAGTAAGAGTTAAACTCTTGTTGAACTAAAAGGTTTACGCCTGACCTTTCGTGTAATTCTTTGCCTCTATGAAATTTACACGCGTAATATTTTCGTTCGAACGCAAGTGAGAATTAAGCGCGAGTGAAAATGCACCTAATTAAAGGATACTTACGAGCAGAAAGCGGTGTATCGTAAATTCAGGCCGGCAGAATTGACATCACGTATTGTTACTTTGCTAGCTATTTTCTGTTGGTAAAGGGAAAAGGATACATCTGGTTTCAGAACCGAGCGCCAACTATCGGTTGGCGAGGTTTAATCACGTAAATACGGTGTGGTACACAACTGTACAGTACCGTAAATGATCCCCAGATCGCAAATGATCCCCAAAATGGACCGCAAGTGATCCTCGACCGCAAGTGATCTCCATTGTCGACCGCAAATGATCCCAAGAGGAAAATTAGAATGGCCTGGACTCAAGTTACTGGACCATCGTGTCACGTTTATTATTGCAACAAAAAGTATTAATTGAACTGAATTCATTTAACAAATAAATGCCAAGACTTAAAAAAAAATAAAATAAAGTGTAAAACTACATTTAAAACTCAAATACTATCAGTGAAACAATAGCTCTTGCACAGCAAAGCAGTGTCTTGCTTATTTGGTGGTTAGCATTAAAGCTAAACTGAACTTAACTTCACATACTGCATTTCAATTAGATACAATATTCTTAACAACAAATTCCTCAAATCCTACCTCATTGTATCTTAATATACCTCGTATCAACTTGAGAAAATGATAACTTAGTGTAACGGCTTAAGTCTCTAAAACGACCCAAATAAAAGTTGCTCTAGTACAACCCCATTTGGGGAATTCTTAATACAAAATTTTCCTCTTACTCGTTCCTTCGTTTCTGTTTCCCTGATTTGTATCTTTATAACTGTCTCTGTCTCTAGCAGACGCGACATTTTCACGAGCTGTAGTTGCTAAGTGTATTTCGAAATCAACCGGAAACCTCTACAAGGGTCATATTTCTCTATTCGTAGGCGTTAAAATCTGAAAGACAAGTTTCCTCAAAGTCCTTCCTGCCCTAAATTTTCACAGCAACGAAACATCAAATGCTGGAAAGAAAGGATAATAAAATGCCAAAACTCGGAAACAGTTCGGTTATTTATCCTTTTATTCATTTCATTGCTCTACGCGTTGTCCAAGTTCTCAGCAAATTTACCATCCACGCCTGAAATCCATTCTATTCCTCTACTTTTCACGGGATCTCTTGCGGTCGACAATGGCGATCATTTGCGGTACTGTACTGTACCCCCAACATGCATGTATTTGTTTTTGTGAAGTCACTGCTTCCGCTGCTTATTAACACCCTTAACCTCCTCAAGGAAGAATATAGAATATATCTCGCATCTTTACAACAAGCAGATATCCAAACGTGGAATCCATACCGAAATTCTCCTAGGAAAAGTTAGCTAAAGTTGATTTTCCGCTCTAGTTTTTAAACCAGGGAATAAATCCTTATGATGTTACCTTTCAAATGAAATCACTTTAGCAAACGTTTGCATAAGAGCATATTTACTAAGGATTTTGCAAAAAGAAACTAGGAATTTACTAGTATATAAGTTTTCACAGGGTTATCTCTAGAGTTAAGATAATACAACTCGGAGAAATTTTATGTGCACTAATATACTTACATAAAGTACTTTCTTTCCCAAGTGGTAGAGTTAAATTAGATGAACTTACAGAAAGGATAAAAATAACTCCTTTAAAGTGAATGTTAATCAATGGGTGTTAATGAATGTTAATCTGAATGTAAACATATGATATCTGTTTAAAGCAAATGGTTTCGACCCAATTTCTCCTGGCGCAAGCCCGCTCTATAACAAACTGCCTTCACTAGGAGCACTAACTCGCTGTCTGTGAAAGTGGGGGTCTACAATAAAAGCAGTTTATTACACTTTTGGTGCTTGAAATCCAGTTAGGTTTACGTAAGCCCTTCCAGATACGTTTTTTTTTATCATTACGCAACGGTTCTCGTAAACAGATGCTCTATTAAAGATTGTTTGTCGGCTAGAAAAGCACACAGCGACCAGAAGCACCACATTGTTACTTGGCCAATGTTTCCGGCAAGCGCTTAAAATTTCCATTGAGAGTCTTAGACACAAGTTTTATAGTTAGACTGCTTTCCTGTCTCGTGTTAGAACAAACAATCTACAACTTCTGCTATAAGAAGAAAGAAACTTGCATGTTGAAATTGTAGGAATATCCGTTTTTATCTAAAACGACATTAGTTGTATGAGACAGTTTATGAAACAAATATTAACAATTCTGATATCAGGCACTATACCTGAAAATCTTATAACCATGCAAGCAAGAAAATAGAAAATACTGTGCAGTGTTCGACGGAAGTTAAATATATTCTTTTCAAGCATCTAGTCATTAGTGAAGCTTCATTTTCTTTAGACTCAGTTAATTAATACAAAACGTTTCCGATTTTCTCCTGGTTGAAAAGAACAATTCTCTTTACGGTTGTCTTCAGCGCATGTATTGAGGTTTCTTTTTAGTTACTTTGCATATGCTTATTAATCAACAGCATTGTTGTCGATTGCTTCAAAACTCACCTGCTCAAATAGATAAGCAGTATCCAAACAAGATTATACTACCTTCGCTAAATGTGCAATTATTTTATGTTTGAACTCAGCTTGGAGGGTAAGTATTTATAAATTTTATTTAGATTATCTTTGTCCAACAATATTAGCTCAAAATACCAGGAAATTCTAATTTATCCTGCTGGTGTCTAAATAAGCATCTTGCAAAACTGTGCCCTTGAAAACGAATACTTGTAACTCAAACGAGACCTAAATGTGACAGGCAAGACAAAATAATACGATAAAGTCGCTAATAGTTCGCGATGACAGTTAGACATAGACTGTGGCCGGCTCAGTCGCTACTCATAGATTTACTCATATATTTTCTCGAAACAAACTTTGGTGGTGGGGAATAAAAGATTTACCGGCATTAAACAGACTTTCCTACATGATTTCCAAACCTGATGGTGTTCAGGATAAACAAAATTATTTGGGACAGTTATTACATACGAACGAGGTGGGAACATTACATTACCATCTACATCTACATTATGAATGTCGTGGTTTTAATTTTCCATTTCAATTATGGTTTTCTATTTTCTTAAATAGAGAAAACGAAAAATAATAATAACGATGATGATGATAAATAGGACAACGAAATACCGCGCAACAAAATTAATACTGACTCCTGATTTGCAATAAGCCTGTAAACCCTAATGTTAAGCCTGATGTTTCCCTCGAATTCGTCTCGGAAAACATCAGGACTCTCGGGAAAACAAAACCATTTCCTTCGGGATCTGACATTGAGTGCATAATATTCAACATACAGGTTTTTTTGGTCTCTTCAAGGAGGGCGTATAGGACGCAAAAAATTGCGATGTAGTAAATACTTAAATTTGCATTTTTTATTCGTTTGAGCTCAAACTTTGCAGGATGGTAGAACTTTGTATTCCAAAAAATACTATGTTTTTTGTTTTTCGATTTTAACGCTTTTTGGCGGGAAAATGGCGTCACAAGATTGACGGCAAAATTAAAATTTGAAGATATGGCAAAACAAATAAAGCTCAAACGAATGAAAAATTCAAAAGTAGTTTCTACCTCGCAATTTTTTGCGTCTGTTTGCGTCCTATACGCCCACCGTGCTTTTTAAAGCTTAGGAGGTCTACTTTTGAAGACTACAATGAAGACTTCCGAATTATTTTGATTCAAAGACACAGTAAACTTTGCGGCGTTATTATTTTCTTAGCGGCAGGCAATAAAAAATTCCAGCGGGCAATGATGCAAATGAGATCAATTCTGCCTCAGTTGTCGCCTTGCAGCCCGCGTCTTCGCGAGGCTGTTCGCGGTGGGCAATTATTATTATTATTATTGCTATGTCAGACATTAACTTCGATATTCAAACAGGACACACATATTCGGCTAATAAGGCATTGAGAATGCTATTTTACTTTCTTCCTCTCTAGTAATCAGTTTCCTAGTAAGAATGCGTTTATCATTGAAAATAGTTTTTTTTTCTAATCGAAATTTGAAATGAAATTAATGTTTTTAATCCGAATATATTTTTTATTTAAATGATTTTTCTAATCGAGAGGAATTGCAAACAGTGTTTTGACTGAATAGCTTTTTAAGCCAATTTGTTGTAAATAGGACTTTTTAATAGTTAGCATTGGTATCAATAAATTTTTTATCGTTTATTTTTTAAAATTTAAAAAAAATGTTATTATTATTATTATTATTATTATTATTATCATAGAGTGCGGCACATCGAAGGGTTCAATTTAAAGTGATATTTCTTGGAGCAAAATTTATGTCTTTGCTTCATCATCATTTACTCTTCTCTAGTTTCATGATTGTAGAAAATTATAATAACGCTTCATTAAATTAGCACACGAAGTTTAGGAATGAGCGTTAATTCAAGTCACGCTCATTTTTGTAAACCTTAATTTTCGCGACCTTGATTTCCATTATTTCGGCCTCAAATTCTCAATATTCTTTGCACATTCTTGACACCTAAGAAAGAGGAGTATTTTGTCAGGATGAAGATCCGCCAGCACCAGTAAAGCCCTGATGAACCCTCGAACTTCACTTGGCCCCCTTCGTACGTTTAGGGAAAGTGCTACGAACAAAGTTTCCATTTCGGATGATTTGTTGAAATTTGTTCCTGTTGTCTCAACATGTTTTGTTTCTTTGTGCACGTCGCGTTAATTTCCTTCATTTTGAAATGTTACCCTTCCTTTTGCGTTAATTTCCTTCATTCGACAGTCGTTTTCCATCACACTGTCATTCGCGCCAATCTAAGTGGCGTTAATTTCCAATACCTTAATTTCATGGAGAGGTACGTTAATTTCCTATTATAAGGTATTTCTTAAAAACAATCAAATATACTTATACAATACTAAGAGCAGAAGATTACTGTCCCATTATAATTGAACTTCCAATTATTTCAACGGGCCGGAGTCGTTTCCAGGACATTTGGACCAAATGAAAAAAATATATATATATAAATTTCCGTTATTTACCCTCGGCAGTATTTATAGCACTAATGCCAGTAGGGCCGAGCAAATTCCTGAAACAAATAAGTTGAATCCAACATAACAGGGTTAAGGATCCCAACTGGCCGGAAGCAAACCAGCTGGCCATTTACACTGAGGCGAGGTCGAGGATTTCAATTCGGGGACTACCGAGAACAAATCCAGCTGGCGGTCAGGGCGGGACTTGAACTCGGGGCCTCCGAATTGCAAGTCCAGCGCTCTAACCACTCAGCCACGCTGCCTCTCTTGGAACACCACGAGAACATAAAGGTCCTTTATGTTCTCTTGTTTGGACTGATTCTCTGCCCAAAGACGTAAAGAATTCTGAGACTTTACTGTGATTCAAAAGAAAATTGCTTAAAAGTCTTCTTAGACTTAATTAACCTAATACTTTCCTTTGTCTCGCATAGTTATAATGTATTTGACAGCATGTGACTGAGACCTCTCGTGTAAGCCTGGCGGCCGGGTTTTCGGTAGTCTGCTACACAGCCGTTTTTAGTGTCGTCACGCAATGAAGGAGCGTTGCGTGACGATACCAAAAACGGCTGGGTAGCAGACTAGGTTTTCGGAGGTCTAGGCCACTTGCACGATAGCGTCGTTTCAATACTGCGACCAGAATCCTTCAGGGTTTTGCTTCCTTGAGCAAATTATCTTTTGTTATTTGAACCTCACTGGGATTACCAAATTTCAATATGAAAGGAAAAACAAAACGTTCTGGGCTAAGTAGTAAAAAGACGTCATCATGAAAATGGCCCATTCTGGCGTGTCATATCTGTTTTGTGCCAAACTATGTTTTTTCTTCTCTTTCCCACTGTAAATTTACCTGATCTGGAGTAATATTGCATCATATTCTACCTACAAATGTTAATCCTTTCCTTTTAATTTGGAGAAGAATAAGTAAGATAAAAGTATTTTCGCTGACAAAATCGGAGCAAAACATTCTCCGCAACCAATTTCAGAATTTGTCACAAATTGGCTTTTTTCGACAAACGTTCGTCAAGTTTAACGTTTTTTTTTTCGAGGAACAGGTTTTTTAAATTGGAAGAAAGGCAATTCTCATGTTCAGTATGTTAACCCCATGGACGGATCGAGCCAATTCGGGCCAATTTAGAGCGACGCAGATCATGCATTTCTGAACGGACTTAGCTTTTAGTTGAAGTGATTAAGTTCAGTAAGCACGACAAATTAGGAAGGGATAGATCTTTGCACAAACACCTCATTTTGGGAAATTCTAACCAATCCTGCCAGAGTTTTACGAACAAAATTCTACTAAAATTTGGGCGGAAATTGGCTGCCAATTTCACCATTCCCTACCCAGCTACTCGTTCTAGATAAAATTTCCTTCTCAAGTTCTGGATTAAAGATATTCAGCAACAATTCGATGAGAAAGAAAGACGATCAACTGACTAACAATACTACACATAGAAAATAACGGAAAAAGAGAAAAGAGAGCAAGAAAGAAGGATCCAAAATATTCGCCAAAAACGAAAAATTACAGCCAGCTAGGAAAATTCTCGCCATTTTCATGCTAATCCGCGGAAAAAAAGATCCAGAAAGGAGGGTCTGGTAAAAATGGGTTCTTTTTTACGCTACTTAAATTCGGTAATTCAAGGGTTTCCTTTGTATTTCCTCTACGATTTACTAACACGTTTTGTTATCTAAAACGTCATACATTAGTTCTTAATTTAAGTTTTCTTTCTTTAACAGAGTGGCTAAAACAGGTACCGGATCATGGTGAGCTTCCTGGCTGCCTTATTAAACTTCGCGGGCTGAGTATAGCTAACCATGAACAACGAAACCATATTCCCCACCCCATGGCTACCTTCAAAGCTCTTTGGAAGCAATTCAACTCAGTTGAGCAATCACACGAAGACACTGGGCCTAACCTACGTTTTTACGCCGGCTGGAAACATCACAAAACGTGTTCTATGCGTCGTTTTGTTATTTCTTGGTATAGTGGGATTTCTTGGAAACTGTTGCATATTTTACTTTCTCGGAAAAAAGCCGAAGAGAGGTGTTATCCAGACAAATCGCTTCGTTACAAATCTGAACTTATACATAAGGAGTTTATCTCTGTCGGATCTCCTTAACTCGGCAGTCTCGGCACCTCTACTCTGCATTCAAATCTCGTTTGATGTATTTCAAAAGGGTGGGCTTGCAAGGCGGTGCGGTATACTAACTTCTTGTTCTCAGCTGCTACCGTAAACACCCTTGTAGTGATAAGTATTGAGAAGTATTTAGCGACTCGCACCGTTTTTCGCACAGTCTCAACCAGGAGCATGCGCAGAATGATCATTTTTGCGTGGTTACTGGGAGCACTCTTCATGTTACTCCCTGCGGCGACATATGACGGAACAACTGTGGTCCTTAACGACACTCACTACACTGTCATCTGTAAAAATAACGAACACTTCTTTCCCTTCAGAGTAACATGGATCATTCTTCCAATACAGTACATTCTTCCAGGAATGTTCGTCACGTATGTCAACCTCTGTTTGATGAAAACCGTATGGGACAGCGGAAGACGACAGGTTGCCACGGTGACGAAGAGAGATTTTCAGGCCGAGCTACGCCTCAAAAAGATTAGGGGGACCACACTTCTCGTTGCATTAACATTCTCTTTTATAATCCCTTTCTTTTTCTTTTTAGGAAACATTGCATATACGCAGATAGCTAAGCCACAGCGTGACTTTAAAACTGATTACGCGTGGCGTTATGGAACGGGTTGTGTCGTGTATTTAAGCGCTCTATTGAACTTTGCAATCTACTTTGTTCAAGTGAGAAGCTTTAGATTATTCTTTATTGACCTGATTCTGTGCAGACGAGATGACAATAACCATCTGTCTGATACTGTGGTCTCAGGCGAACCAGCACTCACTTTTAAAGCTAAAAGCGGAACGCACAAAAGAGAAGAAGAAATTATCGGGATAAAATATACAAATCGAACTGAGTAGAAAGACAGACCTGACTTAGCGATCTGAAAATATACAGTACTATGACATTCGGACTTCGCTGGGAAGAACAACCTCAAATATACCAGCGCCATCTAATGCAGCTACTGTAATTCGATGAAGTATGTTTAGGGTACAGATCTAGGTTTCTGACCGAGGAGAAAAGTACAGCTCAGATACAAAGTTTGTACTTGAGATAAATTAGGGGTTATTAGGTGAAAAAGCAAAAATTTATCGGGGTGGCGCATTGCATAGAGCACCTGCCTCCCACCAATGTGACTGGGTTCCAATCCTGGCGTCCATACCATATGTGGGTTGAGTTTGTTGTTTGTTCTCTCCCTTACTCCGAGAGGTTTTTCTCCTTGTACTCCGGTTTTTCCCTTTACATAAAAACCTAACACTTCAAATTCCAATTCGATCTGGAATTCACGGACACGTTTCAACGCGTACGAGTTCTTCGCAACTCCTAAGCGCTCCGTGGATAACAAATTACAACACAATTACGACGCCTGATTGCAGGTTAGCTCTCAAACAGATAACGCTCTCAAGCATTAGTGATTAAAGTAGACAAAATCGCTTTTATTTTGAGTTGAAGGGTGCATGGGGGAAAACTGCTAACAGTAGCGAGAATTAGATTCCACAAACATGCATTTTAAGCCACTGGCCATAATTTCTACAATCCGTGCAAGTTTCACATATGCTTAGATGCAATGAAAGGTTCAGGGCGAGATGCTGCCAAACGGCAATCAACTTCTTCATCAGCAGGCCTCGGTTGTTCATACGTCGGATGGCGCTATCCAAACGGATGCAGCGAACAAGTATAATTGGGGAAAATAATTGCGTTATCCACTTGATAGCTAAAGATAAATTCAGAGGATAGTATTATCCACGATTTGAACAACTCGGCGCAGAAAGTTAAATACCCCCGAGGCAAAATCTGATTCAGTTTATTGTACAGCTGCTTGCATTGATGGAGGGCTATGTTATTGTTCTCTAAAAGCACTCTTTTGAGTTGATATTTACTGATGGATTCATGGAACTCAGCTTTAGTCTCTAAATTGGGGAAACCAAATTAGGTTCAAACTGTACTAAGATCTTTTAAATTACTGGGTATACTTTCAAATTCTAAAGGAGGTGACTCCTGCTCCTTTGGAACATCCTTTAGGATAATAGAGAGAGGAGGTTTAAATTTCTGCTTTGTGCAATTTCCACTTCTTTTACAATGCGCCTGATGCTTAGTCTATAAAAAGCTTTCAAACTTAAACCGTCATTCCGCATATTGCTCTCTTTCACGCACTGGGCATGCTACGAAAGACTCATCAATGCCAGTGTGTCTCTTTCTTCGTGCAAAGATCTGTAGTCTCGGAAAAAAGGTCAATTCATAAAGTCTACTTTCGCCAAATTATTTACTGCGAGAAATAAAAAAATGACGCCTGAAAGTTAACACTTTTATCAAAACATTTTTTAATTCAACGCTTACCTCATAAGTTGGTTTTTCTTTAGCGGAGACGGCGAAGATTGGAACGACATTCGATTCCAGCAAAACCTCGCGAACCAATCCTGGTGAAGGATAATCCTAAAGAAAAGAGAGTACAAAGTTATTTGTAAGTTCCTTGTTGTGTGGCGCCATAATGCCTGTGTAAGAGGATTATTTTTATTCAATGGTCAGCCCATCTAAAGAAATCCAAGACAGCCTTTCAGTTGATGAAATTTTTGGATTCCACGCCGTGGATTCCAGATTACAGCCACTGGATTGGATTCTTTTTCAGTAGAACTTGGACTCCGGATTCCAATCGTTAGCGGTTCCTTGAGCTGTATTCCGGATTCTAAAGCCCAGGATTCAGGATTCCACGGGCAAAAATTTCCAGGACACCGGATTCCCTTACATATTGCGACAATGGTTCGCCATAAACTCAAACTCGAGCTTGCTGGTGAAATTTAGTTTCTCTCTTTTTACTCGGGCGTGCTTTCAACACTCTTGTTAAATCTTAGTTTCTTGATCTAAATGAAATGCTTTGCTTGTGGTGGAAGAGCGCATTAGCCCTCCCTGCTAGTTTACAGTCATTCCACTAAAATAATTAGAAACGAAAAATAATACAAAAGTTGAACTCGTCACTCCCTGCCACTCCCTCCCTTCTTTGACTATGCTCGATGTTGGCCTACTCAAGAAAGTCTGTAATACAGTCTTTCTTTATCATCGAAAAAGTCGATGCGAAATACTGATCGGTGGAGATGACATTAGTAATGCCGGGCGTCATTACCCTTGGCGCTTGCTTTTCAAAGTTTGTTCCATTCGCGCTCGTTTCCGCTTCGCGCTGATCGGCGGAAATCTGGCAGCTCATTCGACGGGCAGGCACAGATGAATTTGAGGTGGAATTCAAATTCCAGAGACGCTGTTGCAAGCTCTCCTTCCTTTTCCCGCCCCGCCGCTAGAGCGCCCTGGAGAGCTTGCTCGGAGGCTCCCGTGGTTCAGGGAGAGCCTCCTTTTCACGACCTTAACAAATGCTCGCAGGGTGACCTCGTCACTATCAGAAACAAATCTCAGCCAGTGGTTGGAGTTGGACTCGAAACCAGCGACCTTAAGATTGCAAGTCTAGCCTACCAACTACTGAGCCTTGATACCTCCCTGTAAGTATAATGAATATTGCTGACCTGGAAGCAGTTTTTAACTCTTCAACGTACCATATATAATGATGCGGCGTATTCCTGCCCTTCAAGATGACAAAGACCGTCATTCGGAATAATCACTCCCCCAAGCTATAGAAGGTAATGCACTTGATCAGTTTTATCATATGGCTTCCTGAGAATGGGCAAGACATAGCAAATCCTGTATTCTGACTGGCTACCCGAGCCAGCAAGATGGGCCAGCCTTTGTGCCTACATCTAATTCACTAATGACCACACGCTTGACCAATAGCGCATATATACTATATCACGACCTTAACAGAGAATGCGGTTGTGCAAAAGTTTTATAGATCGGATAATCGCCTTATTTGGGGTGACAATAATAGGGAGCCAAAGCAACGAGGACGGCGACGTCAACGGCAAAAAACCAATAGGTTTAGAATGTCAAAACAACAACACGCTTTTTTTTTTGTACATTTCATTGCAAGACTACGACGTGAAAATGCCTTATGTCACGTTTTATCACGAGGACGTGAACACAAGACAAGGACTTTCTTTCTTATTTCCTGAACTGTGATAAAGTCTTTTAGAATTCAATTCAAAGAAGAAATTGCTAACATTTAATGAATTGAACGTGAAGTTTGAAGCAGCGCGTCTTCACTTTTTAAATGGCGCTTTCGTAGCCGTCGACGTTGTTGTTACTTAGTCGTGTGTCCCTTTGACGTTCTGTCTTACACCTGCTTCTGCCATTTGGTTGGAGAAGGTAAAGAATGTACTCTTTACTCTAAAAAGGTTTGTCCACCAGAGAGTAACATAACCTTGCCTTTGTGGGATGCCAATCGGATAACTCCATCGCCCTTAGCAACTGTAAAAGGGGATGCGAATGCAAATGCCATCAAATGCAGCTGTCACGAATGCGGGTGCAAATATCAATGCAGGTAAAAAGTCAAGTATCAACGCAAATGCAAATGCAAATTCCATGCAAATACAACTGTAAATGCGGATGCAAATCCAATTGAAAGTGCAAAAGCAAGTGCGAAGGCAAATGCAACGAAAATTACAAATGCAAGTACTAATATAAGTGCAAATGCAATACGACTTATGCAAAAACCGATGCAACTACAAAATGCAAGTACGCAGGCAAATGCAACGAAGGCTACAATGCAAGTACCAATGAGTATAAGTGCAAATGCAATGCGACTTTTGCAAAAACCGATGCAACTACAAAATGCAAGTGCGAAGGCAAATGCAACGAAGACTACACATGAAAGGATCAATATAAGTGCAAATGCAATACGACTTATGCAAAAACCGATGCAACTACAAATACAAAAAAATTAAAACATACCAGTCCATCTCCCGCACAGTGGTAACCTGCATCAGTTGTTAAGACCACCACTCTTCGGGCCTCTTCTTTGTTTTGCCAACCGATTTTCTACAAAGCAAAATAACCAGCATAATTTTCCAAAATGACCGTTACAGATTATGGCAAAACTGCAGTCAGACCCGACCACTTGTGACCGCCTCTCTTATGCGACCACCTATCCCAACCACCACATTTTTCCCAGTGAAATCACTACAGTTACACTCTCACGTCAGTGACCGCGACCCACATTTATGGATGATGGCCTAGTTAATTTTCTATTGTTGTTATCCCCCTGTCGTATGGTTTGATCCTTGTGCTCGTTGTATGTAGCGCACTACTAAGAGAATGCGATCGATGACAACATGAAACTACGAATGTCGTAACTTGGAAACTACTTGCAGTGAATTCTCTTATAAAATTTAGATGTGTTCGGTCCTCTCAGGAAGAGATCCCCTGTGGTACAATTTTCGTGAGCTGAATACCTCCCGTAAGCGATCATGCCCAAAATGCCACATTGGCGCCAGGCGAGAGCTCTCACCAGTGCACGGTTTTTTGATCCCCCCTCCGTAAAGGATGAGGCAAAACAATCATCAATGTACCTTTCCACAGGCAGCTACTTGAACAAGAGCGTCCAGGCCTCCTTCTGGACTGTCAATATTCCCAGACGATTTAAGCTTTTCAATGGCATACTGAAAACAATTATATGGCTTTAGTTTCATTGAGTGTAAACACTACAGTGTTTCGTCACAGGTCACTTGCAGTGCTATACCAAAAAATGCAAAAACAGCAACACCAAGCGGAAAATAGACAGCAACAGCCTTGTTTTTTTTTGTAATTTTTATTGTTTTTACAAACATAATGCTGACTTACTTACATAGTACTTACTTAGTTACATAAAGCTTTAATACCTACTTACATATAACTTGCTAAGTTAAATACTACTTACTTACATAATATAAACTTACAAGATAATGCTTACAAAACAGGAGCCGATGAGTTGGTGCACCAGGTCAGTCCTGTTAGAGTTGAACTTTTTTTCTTATGCATCAAACAACTTCTTTTGTTCCATAACATTTCGCTGGCCACGCGGCGAAGGAAACGCTCTGATGTTACAGAGGCTGAGGAATGATTTTTGTCTCCTCTTCTTGCTTTGGAAAAGCGTGACAAGGTCAGGTTGGTGGTCAAAATACAATCTTTTCGCAGAAATCATGTTCATGAAAACAGCTTTTAGTCCCCAGCGAAGGAAAACGCTTTTGGTATTACCAACTAACATGGCCGCCATGACGACAGTTGTAAACCCGCCAGTTTAGCAAGAGCTTAAGCAACCACATTGACGAGGACAGTGAAATGTCACTTTAAAGTCGTTGTCGTCGCGGTTGCTTAGGCTTCCTATTGTCAACGCTGCATATACTTCTGGGTTGTTAGATACAGACTGGTCTCAAAGATTCAGGATTTCTTCTTCTAACACGCCGTTTTACAGTTAGGGTTGTGCTTAGTGACCTGGCAATTTAATCTAAGCGAGGTATTACAACGTACCTACCTGAAACAGGGAGACATTTTTATTCAGTGGAAGGACATTGCGATAACCAAATGTTGGAATGGAATTAGGATTTCCTGCATCAGGACGAGCAACCCTTCGAGAAAGTAAACGCAAAAAATATGTTTTCAAAAAGGAGACCAGACTGGAAGACACGCGATAAACGTAAACCAAAAGCTAAAGTTATCTCAGTTGCACGAAAGAGAACATATACATATAAACAAGTTTAGATAATTTGTCGATTTGAACTGCGGAATATATAACTTTACATTTAAAGCGCAAAGTCCTGAGTTAGCTGGAACAAAACGTGTATCCAACAAAGGCCAATGGAATAACAAAATAATAATTCTCGACTTTTGATTTCGCTCAGTTTCATTTAATTTATGTATAGGATTAAGGCGAGATCCAGTGAACCAAAGAAAAAGCTAAAACAGTATTATACGCGAGGTTAAGCCAGGGACGGCTTCGTGTTCGGGTTCTTCTTTTCATGTCCAACATTGTTGGATTAAGTGATAGCACTGTAAGATGTATGTAACCTACAGTTTTTCGTCGGCGGAAATAGGTGATCCAAACCTCCTACCTGCTGTACCTTGCATCTCCGACTCCAATTCCCTTCTTCTTGGCTTCTTCAATAAAGCTCTTTTTCGATTTGGAAATATTAAGCATTGTTGCTTGATCTCCCCCTATTTCTCACGCCTCCCACCGTTTTAGACCTTACCCCTCTTTCCACCCTTACCCGCTTATTTTCCAGAGCTCCCGGCCCCCTTGCCTACCCCACATTTTCGTCCTTTTCCGAGAAGACTGAAAGTTAAGGCCTAACAATTTGAAAGGTCAAATAAGGGAGCACTTTCTTCTCATTTATTTATGTTCCTTAGCGTTGGTCTACGGGAAATTGGGCCTACCGCTCTGACATTGTCTGAAGTCCAAATACAAATACAATTACCTCTCCGGCTCAGAGTCCATGTAAGGGGATATCGGCTTATCAACAAACACACCGAGTCCAAGACGAAAATGAGACGTCAAGTTTGATATATCATCGGCTAAAATATAGAGAAAAAATATGGTTAGGAAAGTGATTAGAGTGATTAGATTGCATGGAGTACTACTTCCATTTCTGTGACCAGTTTATGGGCACCCAAGAGAGAATGAGCTCATTCTCTCTTGGGGCACCGAAGAATTCGAAAGTAAGGCCCCCCACCCCCTCGAAAAAAAAGCAATAACAGCGTTTCCCGGGAATTACCCTCCTATTGATCTCCCCTATTTCTCACGCCTCCCACCGTTTTAGACCTTACCCCTCTTTCCACCTTTACCCGCTTATTTTCCAGAGCTCCCGGCCCCCTTGCCTACCCCACATTTTCGTCCTTTTCCGAGAAGACTGAAAGTTAAGGCCTAACAATTTGAAAGGTCAAATAAGGGAGCACTTTCTTCTCATTTATTTATGTTCCTTAGCGTTGGTCTACGGGAAATTGGGCCTACCGCTCTGACATTGTCTGAAGTCCAAATACAAATACAATTACCTCTCCGGCTCAGAGTCCATGTAAGGGGATATCGGCTTATCAACAAACACACCGAGTCCAAGACGAAAATGAGACGTCAAGTTTGATATATCATCGGCTAAAATATAGAGAAAAAATATGGTTAGGAAAGTGATTAGAGTGATTAGATTGCATGGAGTACTACTTCCATTTCTGTGACCAGTTTATGGGCACCCAAGAGAGAATGAGCTCATTCTCTCTTGGGGCACCGAAGAATTCCGAAAGTAAGGCCCCCCCCCCACACCCCCCTCGAAAAAAAGCAATAACAGCGTTTCCCGGGAATTACCCTCCTATTGATCTCCCCTATTTCTCACGCCTCCCACCGTTTTAGACCTTACCCCTCTTTCCACCTTTACCCGCTTATTTTCCAGAGCTCCCGGCCCCCTTGCCTACCCCACATTTTCGTCCTTTTCCGAGAAGACTGAAAGTTAAGGCCTAACAATTTGAAAGGTCAAATAAGGGGCCCCTCCTATCCTACCCTCCTATCCTACAGATCATCAGTGTTGTTACTGGCAACGGAGAGGGAACGTATAAGATGAGAGTTAAGCCGTTAACTGGAGAAAGATGTCTTGTATATATACCTCGCTCGCCGGTTTTAAATGCACTGAGGAGATCCGAGTTTGCTGTGCCCAAGTTCATGTTTATCAACATTTGTTCTCTGACTAAAACTAAGAATCGAGTAAGGGCACCTATCGCACTTGAAGCAGATATGAAAAATATGGACATTGATATTTGTGTTGTTTCGGAAACACATCTGAGACCAGACATTCCCGATGCTATTGTGAATATACCAAATTACTCGATTCTCAGACGAGACAGGAACTGGGCTGGTACTGATAAAAGGAGTAAAGGAGGAGTTGCAATCTACATAAGGAACAATTTACATGTAGTCGATGTTTACAGATCTGATCTATACGAAATGATTTGTGTTACCATTCTTCTTCCCTCGGGGCACCGTATGTTAATTTCGGCACTTTACAATCCCCCAAAGCACAATTACCAGGAATGTGATTTAATGAGTCATATTATCAATTTTCTTGACAACACACTGGACAAAGACCCAAACACCGTCTTTGTATGCGGTGGCGACCTCAATCTCCTTGATTTAAATCGCCTACAAAGCATGTCCGGCTGGAAGGCCTTGGTAGATTTCCCGACCAGGGGTGACGCGTGTTTAGATAACTGCTTAACTAATCGCCCAGATTTATTCAACAAGTGTCACCCATTTCAATTGTCAATCAAGACCGATCACACGGCTGTTATTCTCCCTGCTGGTACAAAGTTAAAACCCATCCGATGTAAAGTCCAGATACGGGATTGTAGAGAGAATCGTAAAGCCACACTTTACACCGCGCTGGCGGAGGAAAACTGGGATAATGTGCTCGCTGCTCCTGATGTTCAGCAAGCGGTTTGTGTATTGGAAGAAAAGATTCGCGGCCATATGGACAGGTGTATGCCGGTCAAAACTGTATCCATGTCGTCACGCGATCCGCCTTGGATGACACCACTCCTTAAGTCAATGATCAGAACGAAGTCTAGAGTTTCTCGTCTGAGCAAAGACAGGCTGTGCATTGTTAATAAAAGAATAGCTGACATCATCTCGGAAAATAGGAGAAAGTTTATGGATGCCCCTCCAGGTAGTCGGGCATGGTGGAAAGGAGTTGATGAATTGTCGCAGCGGCGTCGTGCATCCTGCAAAGTAAACCTGGATAACAGCTGTCTGATGGACTTGAATGATTACTTCGCTAGGCTCTGCTCAGATGATATGTACATAGAACCAACCCCTGTCACAATCAGCAGTGGGATGGAGATCCCGGTAATTTCGAACGGCAGGTCTGGAATTTACTTAGCGTTCTCAAAAGAACTGCGACTGGACCCGACCAGATTCCTTACTGGGTTTGGAAAGAGCATGCTGAGATTTTCACGCCTCTTATCACCAAAATCTGGAATCTCTCAATCTCTACTCAGTGTTTGCCATCATCGTGGAAGCGTGCGATCATCACCCCCCCTCCCCAAAGTGGATGTTCCTAAAGCACATGGTGATTATCGCGGCATTAATATAACTCCTGTTATAGCGAGGGCTTTTGAGAAAATTGTGTACCACTGCTATGCCCGCGAGACAATTGAAAGCCACCTCAGCACCTCACAGTTCGCCTACAGAAAAGGTGAAAACTGTACCGATGCTCTCTTGTCAATTCAACATAGGACCAACAGCTACCTGGATAACCCGGATTGTAAAGCAGTTCGCCTTTTGCTATGGACTTCAGCAAAGCTTTTGACTCTGTGAAACATGAACTTCTTGCTAGTAAATTAAAAAGCTCCCACTGAATCCATATATTACCAATTGGTACTTGAACTTTTTAAAGGATAGAAAACAAAGGGTATGTTGTAACAACTTTGAGTGTGACTGGAAACCGGTCAACCAAGGGACAACTCAAGGTAGCGTTAGCGGTCCTTACCTTTTAATATCTTCCTCAATGATCTTAACATCACTTTAGGTAATCATGACGCGCTATTTAAGTACGCTGATGACTCGACAATTATTGCTCCTGTATGGAAGGAGGTAGACTACTCCGATCAGTTAGTGTCACAGTTTTTAGATTGGACGAATACAAATGGAATGTCTTGCAACCCAAGCAAATGTAAAGAGTTGACGATCAAAAAAGAGAGGCAACCACGATCTCTATTCACCCATTGGGATGATACCAAGCTGTAAAGAAGTTGAGATTTTGGGCGTCACCTTCCAATGTGACAGCAAATTTTCAGTGCACGTGAAGAACAAACTTATTAAAGCTAACAAATCCCTACATATCCTTAGAACGCTGCGCAAAGAAGGGTACAATCAGTCAGAAATAGACCTTCTCTTTAATACTATAGTTCTACCTAATATTAATTACGCATTGTCTGTCTACGCCGCGTCCGAGTCCGATCTTACACCCGTACAATGTTTCTTAGACCGCTGTTTTAAAAGGAAATATACGTCTAAGCCTGTAAGTGTTTATGATTTCTTAGAGAGGCAAGACCGTAAAATTTTTAAAAAAGTTTTTAATGCCAAAGGACATCCCCTTTTATCTATTATGCCTCGTGTTAAACCCTCCAGCTACAATCTTAGAAAAGAAACTGGTTTTAAACCTAAGATTAACACTATGCGCTTTAAAAACTCTTTTATTAATCGTTTAGTTTTTAAATATGAATTAGCTATGTAATATACTAGATATATATACCGGTATATATCTTTTATTTCTTAATTTTTAACTTTTTAAATTTCTTACACTTACTTGTAACAAAAGATATGTATTTTTATCTCTTGATGAATAAAGACTTTATTATTATTATTATTATTATTATTATTATTGGAGCCCAAAAGAAAAGCCCCTCCCAAGTTCCCGAATTGAGGCCCACAAGTCGCGACACATTCAGTGATTTAGGTCGGTAAATTGTCTAAATTGGATTAAGATACATTTATTTAGTCAGCAGATTCAAATGAGGTCAAATGATACTGTAATTAATTTCACTGCGATATGATAGTTTAGTCATAACTTTCGACCTTCAAAACTAACTTATTGGGCTTTTTCAGTTTATTCTGTCAGTTTTTTTCTTTGGGTAATTATTCCACAGCTAGTCAGGAACGGAATGACCATTCACAGTGGAAGCTGTCGTAAGAGGACACCCTCGGGACTCGAAAAAGGTGTCCGTAACTGGACGGTTACAGGAACTTAAAAATACAGAGTTTGTATGGGAGTTAGAGCGGTTTTCACTTGACTGTCGTAAAACCAAAACCAAAGTAAATACACTAGCCAACCAAAGGGCGTAGTAAAACCAAAACCAAAACCAATCCCTTTCGACAGTCAAGTGAAAACCGCTCTAAGAAAAATGGGGTTTTGTGAGGGCGCTCGTAAGTAGAGCTTGTCCGCCGACGAAAGTGTCCGTTAGGAGAACTTCTACTGTAATGTTATTTTGTGTGTCTCAACAAACGACTGTAAATTACAAACGTTCTTTAACTTTGCCAAACTAAAAACTACCTACACTAGTAGCAGCGCCTTTTGCCTGCTATTAATCCACAAGTAACGAGGACCGTTTCCGTCGGAATTACAGGATATACTTCTGGGAACAAAACAATCTGGATCCCCTTCCCCCTAACCAACTTTTCAAATTTGTGTTGTTTGTTGTTTCCTAAAGGTGGTAGTTAATATTTCTTCTGCAGTCAATGAGGGACATTATTTGTAAACATCCATTGACCCCTTCCCGGATGCTGTTTGTTACATTTGCCTACAGTGCCTGATCAGTTACCTAGCAACTGGCCAAGCCTCTTGATGGATTCCTTTTCAATGGATCGGGACACATCAGTAAGGTAATACAAATCAACTGGAAAGTCAGTCGGGGTGAGAACGTTGACAGTAATGGTTGTCTGTTGTCCTGTAAAAATGAAACGTTCATCATTCACAAAATTGAACCTCAAAAATAACAGAGCAGGCATCCATCAATACTATTACTTGGTCGTTATAAAAGATTTACCCCTTGTAATTTGTTTATGTTTGCTACCTGAAAATGGGTCGGCGTCGTGTCAAATTATACAATGGCTAGGTTCACTCGGTAGCGGTCGAATTTTCGACCGGTTAAAAATTTTGATTACTGCAGAAACTTTGCTCACACGGAACCGTTGAATATTTTTGCGCTGTTCAAACGAAGCTGTCGAACCGCTATATTTCCAAGCAAAGCGAGTAATAAGACGACTTGTAAATCCATGTTCGCAATCTTTCTTACTATTTATTTCTATGGTTATATCATATATTTTTTAACGTGGCCATTTTCATAAGCCTTACTGGCTTCCATGGGCTCCCTTGCCTCATCCATTTGAATTTTGTGAATGTATTTCATGCAAATGTGGCAAAATGATAATAAAAATAATAATACCCGGTCGAAGCTGCAGAGTGAGATTTTGCGGTGAGACTATAGCGTCACCGTCTGGATCCTTTTTCTGAAAAGAAGGCGTTAACCGTCATGATCAGCAAAACTGCTTAATGCATAATAAAATTACTGGATTAGTGACATACGAAGCTGTGTCATTTAAGGAAATGAGTATGAGAATATGTATCCATCGCGTCTTTAGCTAGGCTAGCTTTAAAGTTTCATATACTTCCAAATACTTCAAATACTCTTGTGGGGAAAAGTTTCAAATACTCCCATGAATACTCACATACTTCAATGAATAGTCAGGTCAACTGAGTTTGTAACTACCTGTAAAAAACATTCTTTGGCAGGGTTTTAATCTTTTTATTTGGCGTTTCCTGGCTTTGTTTGGGTTGCTTGGTCTATGAACAATGTAGAGTAGGCTTATCGTGGTGTGGGTGAACGCAAAATACTATCAGGCAGTGTATTTCTAGAACTCAAACACTACAAAGAATTTCCCTAACTTGTTCATCAGTGCAACACGTTTCATTCTAAGCACTAAACCCAGTGTTCGCTACCCGTAGGAAATTTTTCCTAAATCAAGTTAAAATCGTAAATCCACTTACCGAATGAACAGTAAATCCTGATTTTGGATTGGAGATCTTTTTGCATTTGTTTTGTTGGTGATTTACTTCCATGTCGCACCTGCTTCTGGGTTGACCAAATATATGGTAATCCTTAATTAGTTTTAACAATAAAAATCACAGTTAGAGTTCTGATAATTCCAGACCATTAGAAGGAGAGGATGACTACGAGTACGAGATTTTCTCTCGTACGTGAACCAGCGTCATTAAGGACTTTAAGATCCAACAAAGCGGACGGCAACGAGAACGTCAAAAAAGCAGTTGGTTTAATAAGCAAAACAACAACTTCGCACGTTCATCACGCTTTTTGGTACAGTTCTTTCCTGTTTTTGCACGACTACGACCTGAAAATGCCTAATTTGCGTTTTATGGAGGGCGTAAACAAGCAACGACGAAATTTTATTATTTTCTCTTTCTGAGCTTGGCTATGGTCCCTAGAAATTCAGCTTCAGGAGGGTTCGCCTACATTTGACAAAGTAAGTGGGTAGGAAAAATCGCTATTAAGACTGAAGGAACGCAAATTCACTTTTTAAGCGACGTTCTCGTTGCCGTTGCGTCGTTGGATCTTAAAGTCCATATTTTGGCGGGAAGACGTGATAGCCGTCGTCATTCTAGTAGGAATCTTAGCGAGATGTCGTAGTGTTGGAAACAAGTTATCAAATGTTAATAGAGGTTTAATCACTATGCGATCGGGACAGGGCTTTACCTCCTCCAATAAAGATAACAGTGCTAACTTTTCTGGTGAAAAAAAGTACAATGACGCATTCCGGGGTGTCTGTTTTTATACAGCACGCAAAAAAAACCTTTCATGAGTCAAATCTTGTCTTCATAGTCGTTCTTTGAAGGTCTTCAATATCAACAACAAGTCCTTATTTGTCACGTAAGGTTCAAAGCAAAGTCCTTCTTTGCACTTATTTAGAATCGCATTATAGGGCAAACGACATACGTCCGATTTCATATCTCAAATTAGGAAATGAGAAGAAATTGACCACAATGATTAGTATGCCACTGGAAGAACCTACTAAGAAACTACCTTTTAACTGTAATAATTTGCAGTGTATAGATAACGGAATACATGTAGTAAACAACTGAAAAAGGGAAAACGTACCCAGTTGGTGCAAATTAACGTTAATGTTACATTTTGATTCTAAATCTCTCTAATTGAGTTGCCTCGTTAGCAAGCGCTAAAGGTCAGAAGAACCCGGCTATGCCTCATCTTCCATGTTTATAGTTTTCAAGGTTTTTTCAGCATTCTTGAAACTGAAAGTTCTGTTTTCAGGGATATATTTTTTTGAAAAACACGACGAACGAGCTTGAAAAATTGACACACTTAATTTCTTCGATTTTTTATACTTATCCACCTTTTGTCCATAAAGAAAGGAAAGTAAAAAATCCAAACTTACGATATCCTCGCACCATGTGCACTCCGGACTGCTAACGATGCAATCTGTGCATGTGTTGTACTGCTTGCAGTTAAGGTCAGTAGATTCTAAAAAATGAAAGAGAAGTAAAAAGTCTATCACTAGGATGTAAACTGAGGATCATGGTACCCAAGTTTATTATCTGTGTTTATTATTTACAATTTAAATTCAAAATATTTCCCCGATTTTGATTGGCTAAAAGCACACGGATAATTCACCATAACCAGCTACTGATGACCAAATGTGGAAGAATTTAGCAATAAATGAACCGATGACGACAAAAGTGCAGCTTTCTTGCAGGTTAATGCACCGTTAACCGAGAAGACCTGGGGACGAGGTTGAGTTGTTTTGGTTGTGAAAACAAAAATGGCGGACATTTCACTCGTTTCAAGAGTAAGAACTAGGGGAAATAATAGCTAAAAACATGGCAAGTCCGGCAAGAACAGCAAGAAGACAATTCGAAGAGCGACATATGCCATTTGGAGAATACTTGCGGAGCTGAACAACCCTAAACGTGCACTGTCGAAGATAAAGTTAACATCGATGTATTTTATAGTTATGTTTTTTTTAGCTATTCGGCTTCGTATCATGTGAAGAATTATGGAGATCTCGAAGGGTGTTATCCGCCTCGGCCCTACGCCCTACACCCTCCTCGATCTCCATAATTCTTTATAAGACAATCAGCCTCATTCATTAATTGTTAAATATAATTTTTGACTAAAAAATGAAGTTCTTTAAGTAAGGACTTATCCGCTTGAAAGGATATCGAAGCATGTTTAGGTAAAAAGGAAACATTCAAAAGAATTTGTAGAAATTAACCTGGCTGATGCGGACACCGCAGCAATGGGAACATTTACATGCTGTCAAATGAAGGGTTTTTTAATCTTAAAATCGGAAAGGTTTGTTACAGCACAGAGTTGATAATAAAGTGTCCGCATCTTTGAGGTCTCAGCGTCCGTATTAACAGGTTTTGACTGTATTTAGAGAAAATATATTAAAAATTTTTACCAGGGACAAAGGCAACTGTCCGTAATAAGGAGGTGTCCGGATTTAGCACCCCTGGGGGAGGGGGGTACTTGGGTTAATTGGGTTAATTTTTGCTGGGCCGGTATGTGCCGCTGGCCTCTCAGAGCCCCTACCCCATTATAGTCTATTATGTGGCCAATTATAGACCCCATCTTAGTCACTTTTGGGAAAATATGTAATTTTCGCGACCCCAACTCAGTCACTTACCATTTTTATGAATTGATCCATTTTTTAGATTGAATGAAGAACAATTTACTTTTCATCTACAGTACAAACATTCTGGTACGTTTGCTAACCGTAAATATGAAGAACTGTCTTACCCCACAAATCAGAAAATGTGCGACCCCATTCTAGTAACTCTCTTGAAAATGCTACCCCATTATAGTCAATCCAGTCGTGAAAATGCGACCCCATCGAGCGGCACATCCCCATTAGCCTCTTATAAGAAAGTAGCCCCCAAAAGCAGGGAAGATGATAAAACTTTCACCAGCCTGTGTTAGAACTTGAAACATTTTGCACGGCAAGGTCTAAAGACCGATTTAGACGTTACGATTTTTGCTTAGGACTATCGTGCGCGACTAACATACGTATGACTTCACGACAGATCGTGTTGGGTAAATTATACACACGACATTCGTACGACACACGTGGATATCTTCAGTGAAAATTGTGCGCGTGTGGATGGTCGGGGAGCAGGGATGGCGCAGTGGCGAGAGCACTCGCCTTCCACCAGTGTGACCCGGGTTCGATTCGCGGACTTGACGTCATATGTGGGTTGAGTTTGTTGTTGGTTCTCTTCTCTGCTCCGAGAGGTTTTTCTCCGGGTACTCCGGTTTTCGCCTCTCCGCAAAAACCAACATTTCTAAATTCCAATTCGATCTGGAATGGTCGAGCGTTTCATACATGAGCCCCTGGCTCGGGAGATTGGGCAACCACTCCTCACGCTATCGAGCTTAAATAAAATTGATTTGATTTGATTTGATTTTTTTGGTCGAAAGTCATGACTTATGCTAGACGCGCACGATAGTCTTAAGTTTATTCTTGTCCAAAATGTTGGAATGCATACAATACATGTAAGTCCTTGTAAAATTAATGTAAAAATAAAGGGTAAATGCTTCAGGCATGCACCAAGCTTTACACTTACCCCCAGAAACACGTCTCGCAAAGACCCAACAGAGAAACACAAGGTAAATAGTCACCATGGGCATCCTGAAGAACAAAAGAGTCTGCAATAAACAATAAAATTTACAATATAGATAACGTTTTGCTTACAGTCCCCTGTCGCCTGCAGGCTAAGCGTATGTCTACTTTTCTAGTACCGTAAACTGCCCCTTATAAGCCCATCCGCTTATAAGCCCCCTCCAGTTATAGACCCACCTACATGCAAACAAAAAATACATCCGATTATAAGCCCATCCGGATATAAGCCCCCCTCCAGTTTTTCTTGTGTTACAGTTTTGATTTTGTTTTGAAATTTCACTGAATTCGATTTATTGCTGCCTTTTTAACTCTTCAATTGTAAGAGTAATAAATTTAAATTATACGTCGATCAACAGTGCTGTTGCTCATTTAGAAACGTTTTTTTTTCGTCCACTTATAAGCCCATCCGGATATAAGCCCACCCGTTTATAAGCCCACCCAAAACCCCTTACGAACTTGTATAAGCCCAGGGCTTATAAGCGGCAGTTTAGGGGTAATTCTACAGGGGTGTGTCTCGTAGGGGTGAATCCCATTCGAAAGTAACGGGAAGGCTCGTTGGAAAATTCTAATTAAAGAATGAAATCTCTATAGGAGACCATTTAAGTTTGGCTCATTGGATTGTTCGACCCCTAAAGAAACCATGCTACGAAAGTCAGCCAAATAAGGATAATAGCCGTTTTGCAGACTGAGATGAAGACAACATTGAATGCTGTCGTTTTCTTTTTTTTCTTTCTTTCTTTCTTTCTTCTTCTTTCAAACTGCTTTCTTAATGTTATCTGCGTGTAGTTTCAAATATATATCTTAGCGTTAATTTCTGAGGGAGGGGTTGTGTCACGAGGATACTCGGCTGTTTTATGTCACTTAATGTGCTGAAGTCATTACTTTACCAATACACACCTTAATTATGAATAAGATATCAAACAAATCAGTTTCACCAGGGAGCACTATCTATTACATTTTCTTAGGTAATTTTTGCAGGCATAGCAATTAAAACTTGAAAACTTAAAGGGGCCATGTCACCCCATACGCATGCGCGAACCAAGGAAAACAAACTTGAAAAAGTTGGCCCGTCTTTTTCAAGTTCTGTCGGAGATTTTGGAAGGCTGTTTTTATCTGTCTAAATCTCAGCCATCGTTCGATAGTTAGCGAAGTTTTGTATTAAGAATCGTTCTATGGTGATTACAGAATAATTTTTTGGCGTTATTTTGAAATTGTTTGCCTGTGGAATGTTTTTACGTGGATTTACTGTGTCCTCTTATCAGCGGCCGTTGTAATGGCAGAGTTAATGACGGCTACTCCACAATGAGTGATGGAATCTTTGATGGAATCTTCCCTATAGCTCACAGAACCTTTCTATTGAGTTATTTTAGAGGTTGCTGGCTCTTGGATTTTTCTTGTGCTCAAAGTATGTGGACATATAATGAAGCGGCTATCGAGTTGGCGGCGGCCGTTTTTGGTAAACGATTACAAGAGCATCAGCCCATGAGTTTCGTGGCCAAACGAAACTCCTGGCAAAGGAAACATTATAAAATTCGGCTAGATTCCTTCTTGTATTTATCTGGACTCACGGCAAAGATAAGCACGACCGTTTGCTCGTCCAGATTGTTCTCAACGGACTTAGAGAGGCACCTTAATACGAGTTAGATCCTGTAAATGCCATGTTTTTGAACTGTTTGTGTTCGAGCATATTTTTGGAAAATAGCAGAGTTTACTTTCCCTTTTTATCAACGGACTGCTTATAGTGGAGTAGTATACCAATGATGCTTGGGTCTGTTTTTCTCGACGTCGCAGTGATTCGGCACGATCGAACAATTTTGCGCGATAATGTATGTTTCCCTAAGATCAAAACAAAGACTTGATGTCTCTTGTTCTATCAGCATCTAAATTATAAAATCACTAGCGACAGACAAGTCTAATTGTTAATGATTTGAAACAGTCTTGGTCTTTACCTTCGGTGTAGCGTCTTTTGTAGCTCGTTTGTAAAATACAACTTCGATTTATTTTGTTGAATAAGACAATATGTTGTTGTTGAATTTTTGTTTGCGCACTATTTTATGAATGGCATGCGTTTTTACGCCAAAACTACAAGTAAAATTGTCGTCACAATTTTATTCTTGATCTAGCATAACCAGAGAAGAAACGTTCCGTAAATTCTATCGAAATATCCCTTATCTAAACCCATTTCGCTTGTTAACCTCTCTAAATTCGGAGCCTTGGACGTGACAGAGAACAAGGAGAAAGTCACGCGTTAAAAACAATAGAATTTTGACAGTTGAAAGTAATTTGCATAACCTCAGAGCGCATGCTCTCCAGCTGACATAGCCCCTTTAAAGTTGGCCCAACTTTTTCAAGTACAGTCGACTCCAGATAACTCGAACCTTCAACGGAAATCGAAAAAAGTTTCGAGTTATCGGGAGCGCGAAGAAAATAGCCGGGTGTAAGGAACAGTTTTTACTGCACAGTTAACGTTTTAATCACATTTAATTGTAGAGAGGTGAAGTGACAATTGAAGTTAAGATACTTCAAGATTATAAATCAGAACGAAACGTAACAAAACATTGCCTAAATAGAGCATGTGATTTACTGTTTTGAGAAGTAAAGCTGTTTGACGTTAGATTTTTGACAACATTAGCCTCCACTAGTAAACTTTGTGGCTACAACACGTCGTCAATGGGAAATTCAAAATTCAATGTTTCGGACGCCAGTACACTGATTTTTTCCAACTTTTTAAGGGCTCAAAACATGGTTCGAGTTATCAAGAGTAAAATTATATAGAAATGATCTGAGGGGAAACAAAAATTACTTCGAGCTAGCGGGAGGTTCGGGTCATCGAGGGTTCGAGTTACCGAGGATAAAATTACAGTAAATGTACAGTCGACCCTCTCTTAACGGATAACTCTATGTGACGGACACCTTTGTAAAACGGACACCTAGAGTTGGTCCCCGCCTTTCTTTAGTCCTTTTATTTGACTCTCTTTAAGATGGACACCTCTCAAAGACAGACAATTAGTGCCGGTCCCGAAGGTGTCTGTCTTAGAGAGAGTTGACTGTATAATTTACGAAAATCCAGTGGAAATCGGTTTCTGTTCGAGTTAGCGCGAGGTTCGATTCTAGTTAGCGAGGGTTCGAGTTATCGGGAGTCACTGTATCAATAAATGTCCACCTTTGCCATCCGTTTGCAACAGAAGAACGTGAGCAGGAAACAGTTTCAATGCTTAAAACTGAACCGTTGTTTTTGGAATTCAATTGATGCCAAAAACGTTTTAGCTTTTTAAAAAGTTAGCAAATAGCGCGACATGGACCATTTAAAGGCAAATTTTCAAACCGAACGTTGTAGCGCATCAGCTTGGCGTTCTCGTCTCCAGAGCTCTTCTTTATTACACGTGACTATTAAGGACGGCAGAAAATCCAGGCTCTGGAGTAGCGCGTCTGATTGGATGTGAAGCAAACTTTCCACCCATCAGAAGTCATACTAGATCTAGATAGTCATCATGCCATGCCACATGGAATTTCTGCGCTTGTTACTAAGACGTCATTTTGCTAACAATGGCTATTTTTTGTCTTCACTTCCCCTAAAAATAGCCATTGTTGGGGGGAGGTGTCATAGAATTCCTAATTAATAATAGTTACGTCTTGTATGTTCCAGGTGTTGTTGACGTCCCATGAAACGAGCATGTTGGTAACCCCTCGAGCGAACCACGGTGAAAGCTAAGAATTTATATTCATCAATTAAGTTGACATAGGAAATTTGGCATAGTAGGGACATTTCGATTGCTTGACGAAGGGCTAGAGCATAAAACTTCAACATGTTTTTTTATATTGAATTAAAAACGTCAGTTGTTAAAACCCTCGATGTTTCTTTCCCCCATTGCTCTTCTTTGCAGCCGTAAGTTTTGTTTCTCGACGGGTGCCCAAATTTTAAAAAAAATGTTTCGGAAATTTTTTTTTGCATTGAACTTTGCTTCCGGGAATTTCTAGAATTTTCGATTGAATGCATGGTTCACATTTCGGAAATTCAACATCTTTCGGAATTTCTGGAAACTTTTCCTGGACATTTCTGTACCATTTGCCGCTGTTTCCAATTTTCGAACGTTTTGGTTGAATGGAAAGCGCCCGTTGTTTTGCAACAACAACAACGTCAAACAACAATTGGTTTTATGAGCAAAACGACTGCTCTGCACGTGAATCACGCTTTTTGGTACATTTCTTTGACGTCCACTGCACGACTACGACGTGAAACCTCCCAATGCGACGTTTTATGGAGGACGTGGACATACGAAAACAAATTTTCCGTTCTCTATTTGAACATGGATAAAGACAATAGGAATTTAACTCCAGGAAAAGTCGCCTACATTTAACGAATTAAGCGGTTCCAAATAGACGCGATAAAGATTGAAAGGACGCGGGAAATTCATTTTCTTAGTGACGTTTTCACTGCCGTCGTCGTCGTCGTTGCTTAAGCTGGCTGATAAAGTGCAGCGCTGAAAGCAAGCGAGGTCTTAATACTCCAGGTACGGAAACAATTCTTGATTACTCACAGTAAACGCAATCCCGCAGGTAAAAATCCCATTCTATATCAACCCACGTTATTTTGAAACTCGTGCATTTAGCAAGAAAAATACTAACGGAAGACACCAGTTTATGTCCCAAATTGAACTGGGAACGTATAGTCTATAATTATACTGTTCATGTGAATGCTCTCAACTAACCTTGATGGCCAGGTGCGTTCGTCCACAGTCCACTGCCTTTGAAGCTATTTCTGAGTAAGATATCCCAGGAGTCTCTCCGAGCTTGGAGTTGATGGCACGAGCAATCTCTTCGTCATCAACATTGGCTTGCTGAACCTGTTTAAACAAGAAAAACAAGTTTTGAAGAAGTGAAGGATCGAAAGAGATGTCAATATATTCAACACAAGAAAAACTATTTACGGACACTATTGTATTCTACTAGGGCGGAGAAGTTAATTTCAATGTGATCATCCCAGCCATGTAAAAGTCCAACTGTTTATTTATTGAGGAAATAGAACACAACAGGATTAAAAACCCCAGCTGGCAGGAGGCAACCAGTTGGCTATTTACAAGTATGACCGGGTATCTGAACTTGGAAATACCGCGAATAAATTCAGCAAGTGGCTAGAGTAAGACTCCAACCCGGGACCGGCGGATTGTGAAAACAACATGATGGGCGCCTGGCCACGCCGTCTTCCCCGCGTACAATCCAGTATAATTGATCTAGATCTTTTCATAGGTTGATTTTGTGATCTTTGATAAATAGACAAACACGAAGAGCAATGTACCAAATTCAGCACATGAAACAACCACCGGACACCCAACTCCACTCATGTCTACTGCCACAACTATAATTTACCATTACCAATTTTATCAAATTACCAGCCATAAGCTGATTGCGGGAAGACCCCTGCTTACATATAGGTAACAGCCAACCGGTATCCGCTGGTTACACTCACTTTATAACAAGCCCAGTGTCCAAGGATGCGACTGGCACCCTCCCCCTTAGGAATCTTCCAGTAATCACAGATTCTTATGGCCAGACAGTAGTGACGCCTCAAAATCAAGCCTACATGAGCGGAAAATAAACGGTAATAAAATAAACTTAAGGGAAATAATTCCCTCTCCAGGTCTGTTGGTGGAAAAATCAATGTAGTAAACACGGTTTAGACACGGAAAGTAGGCAAGTGAAAAAACAACAACTTTGCTTCAACTTGTTTTATATTCACTAGGAATGCAAATACTTTTGATATTTAGAAATGACTTAAGTCCAACCACGTTACCATTTTAGTCAGGCAAAAGAGAAAGGTTATCGGACATACATCATATTCATTTTGCTATTTTTTTCTTAAAAGTACTATTTCGTACTATGTACTATAGCGGGTCTGGTGTATAATCAATAAAAATTTCGACCCTCCACACTATAGAGCTCCCAACAGCTCAGTGAGTAGAACGTCTGATCTCGAACTCGAAAGGTCGTAAGTTTGATTCTCACCTGAAGCTCGGAACTTATTGAACGTTTCACAGTGCAATAAACACTTAAACACTTAATGACTGGTCTCGAGGGAAACAGTTATATTTGTTTTCCGAGAATCTCAATGTTTCCCGAGGCTATATAGCTGGAAATTCATTAAACCTCGCTTCCCTCGCTGTAACGGTAGCCGTCGGTCAACATTCGCGGGTAACAATGCACTGTTACCCTATGACTTCATAGATTTTGGAATGTTGTCCGCTAACAGATTTTGGCGGGAAAAAGCTTCATTGTGAGATGTCATGTGACCTCGGAGAAACCAATGGGAGCGCGCACTGTTATGAAAAAATTTCCAGCTATATGCAGAGCAATGATAACTTACTTGAAGATGATGTGAACTGCGGAAATGCAAGTTTCAATGAAGATATGATCGTCGCAGCGGAAATTCCAATTTAAGCAATTGCAAATTAACCCGAAAAATAAAAAAAAATTTTCGCGTTGCTACGGAGGCTAGCATAGTGTAGACTTGCTCCAACACACGCTGCAATTGGGCAAAATGTAACCTGTGAGACGAGGCTTTTGCAACAACTGAAAATTTGGTTCACTCTTGAATTAAGATAAAGGATACTGTCCATATGTAAGTGGAATGCCAACCATGTAATCCCGCACGGCGTTTAACACTCTAAGATTCCGGCACATCGAAACAAACGCGTGTGGCGGCACATCAGTTAGAAAACTCTCACCGAAGGAAGCAGCCTAGCAAAGAGAAGAAAAGATTACAGCTGAGATCAGTAAAAAAAAACCCGGTTATACTATAGGTGGAATTTTCCCCAACATCGACCGCCGGAGCGGTCTTATTGGTTACTACGAGGACACATGACATGTTACACGAGAAATATTTCCCGCCTAAAATCTCTGACCAAGCGACGTTACAAACTTCGCTGGTAGATGGTAAGAGAGCAGTGTTATCGGCGAATGTTGCCCACTCGCTGAGACTTGCTATACTTTCAATTCATCGATCCTGTATAACTGAAAAATCACTGAATGACGCGTTCGTCGAAAGCATTAATGAAGTCCTTTATGTCTCTTACTACACTCCTCAAATAGAAACATAATGGACGAACTATTGCCGCTCTTCGCTTTCAATTCAAATTACCCAGATATACTGAGTACAGATTTTCTTTTCACGGCATCACGTTCAACGATTTATGTCCAACCGAAGGAACTTCAGCAGATTAACCAAAACATTTTTAGTAGGAGGTGGTGATTTTGCCACGGAAAACAGATAATGTATTTTTCAAACAATGGTAAATTTATCTAGCAGTTTACAGAACACCAATCACTGTGTAAGAAACCTTAAACTTGTCAACAACTCCCTCACCCCCTCGGGGCGGGTGGCTGTGAGAATCGAAACGTAGCAACTGAACATGGGATCATGTGGTTGCCATGACTACCTCCGAAACTATACTCACCCTGAGCAGTCCTCTTTGTATTGCAGGCTCATGTTTCCCGGCAGCGGCGTGGATACATTGCTGGACAGCCTCAGGAAGACGTTCTTTGATCATCCGAATGTACTCCTCTGCTCGGGCGCTCTTTTTCTGTTTACAGGAATATACACGAAAGAATCATAACAACAGCTTAATTTTTAGGGATTAAGGTTTTAGTGCAGTTTAGAATCTTTAAGTTGAAACTTTAATGTTGTTCGTCAGGTATTCTTTTTATTATCATGCTATGGTTTTCTTCATTCATTATTGTTCTTTCTTATGAATTCTGTAAAGCGCTATTGAGCTTTTGGACTGAAATAACGCTATCTAAATAAAGTTGATTATTTTTTATTATATGGAGAAAAGTTGGCTCAGCTAGGATGGTAACCTTACCAAGAAAAAACAGGTCACCCAACAACAGGCTGCCCAGGGTGGCTCGCAGTGGCGGGTCCAGACCCTCAGATAAGGGGGGCCCGGTCATCCAGACCCCTGAGATAAGGGGTGCGGTCCCACCCCAGGATCCTTGTCCCTCCCCTGGATCCGCCACTGGCTTGGGTAGGCGGCTGAGCCTTTTACCCGAGACAACTTTTTCCCAGAGAGAGTGAAGCATTGCTTACCTCAAATTCCTGTGATGCATCAAACAGCATCGCACCTGGTTCCATTGAGCCGATTTTAAACACTTGTTCCACAGCAGCTGAAAGATCAATAGAAATTGTTGCTCTAGTATCGGACATAATTATTCACATTCGTGATTAGAAGTGGTTCTGGTTGAACGGTAACCGGTCAAGTCGCCCGAAAGTCATATCGCCCGAAACCAGAGTCATGTCGCCCGAAATCCTTAGTCATGTCGCCCAAAATTTTATCGAGTGTATAGACTTGAAGAAAAGTAACATCTGAAGTATATCGCAAGGAATTTAGTCGAAAAATGTTGACTCAACTGTGTCCGGTAACCTATGCAAATGTGAAGTTAAACAAAGACGCAAATATCGCTATTTATTTCGAGCAACATAACTCAAGATATCGGGCGACATGACTCTGGTTTGGGGCGACTTGACCGTAAACCGATTGAACAAGTCGACTGGAATAAAGTTTAGGGCTTTTTGCTTGTTCGTGACAACAGGGCACCCATTTTCTTTGGAGGGGGGAATACTGAATGTAGAGTCAGTTCCATCTGCTTCCGGGTAGTAAGTTGAAAAATCGTACATGAGCACAGGAAGACCACACTGAGCTAAAGGTTCAAGTACCTACAGGTAACGACACGTTTTAATAGAAGGTAATTTGGAAAAGCATCAAATGTCTGTGGAGAAGAAATAAATCTCAAGGACATCCCGGCCACCAACAAGGATTGTTATTTTTGGCTACTTCGATAGCTTTATGAATCGAGAACAAGACAGAATATCTGCGAGTATTTTGAAACCTTTCACTTGTAGTCTGCGAATACAGCCGTTTCACCTTGCTCCTTGTCGCTAGGGAGGTTTCGCCAGGAGGAGAAACCGCCCGCAATCAACGTAATCATATTTACCAACCTGGAACTCGCTGAAGCAGTTCATGAGTCTCATTACCAATGATTCTTACGCCATCTAACTCTTGAACTAAATGAACAGCACTGTCCGTCTGATATGTGAAATGTGTTAAGAAAGTGTGCTATCCGTAGCATATGCATATTTATTAAAACTGACCCATTGAATAATACAGTTAAAGAGCTCTGATTGGCTTAGCCAACATGGTATATGAGCCACATACCAAAAATTGAAAATTGGTTGTTCTTACATATAAAGTCGGGAAGAATTCACGATATTTTGTGGGCGTTTTTAATAAACAATTATTCCACTCATATCCAACGCGCTCTCGCGCAAAAATTGTTAAATATATGGCAATAGCGTGCTCAATGAAAAAAAACTACTCGTATCTACCGTACAGTCGTTGCATCAATGCAACGCGCGAGTATTTAATGCATGAGCCTGACCGTTTCATGGCCCGATCTCGAGAGTAAAGGTACCTTTATTCACCTTGACTGTACGCAAAGGCAAAATTTCTCAAACATTTATCATGCGATCTTGGACATGGGTTTTAAAAAAACGTGACCGGAAACGTAATGGAAACAAGAAAGAAGGGAAATGATAAAAGAAATGTGGCGGAAACATGATCGTTCGTTTCCGACTCGGAAACATAACGGAAACGCATCCCGTCCATGGAAAACTAGATCACCATGTTGCCGCAGGGCGGAAACGAGACGGATTTAAGCAACTTCACGTTTGAGTGGAGTTTACAAAATACGGAAACACGTTATTTCGTCCTGTGACAGTAGTAACAATTGTCAGTTCAGATCAAGGGTGTTTTAAGTAACACGATCAACATACAATTGCAGCATGACAGCACAATTACCAACTTGGCCAAGCCAACATTTACAACAACAAGAAGTACAATTTTTAATCCTAGCATGTTCTAGCAGTTAGATAGCTTGCCTCGCAAATAGTTGGAAAGCTAGTCTGATCATCATAAAGAATGATCTTGTTAATCAAAGGATATCTAATAGTGTCCATTGTCGGTCCAACAACATCCAAATAATCGTCCCAGTAACATATGACAGCGCCCATTGCACACCTGTAAGGTAAGTTGAAATAAGTAAAGATCGGAACACACAAGGAGACAAGTTGCAGCAACACTTGTCGGCGACAGAGTACTCCCTGTGTACAGGTCAGGCGACTAGTTGCTGCAACACGTTGCGGCGATAGATCACTCCCTGTGTACATGTCAGGCGACTAGTTGCTGCAACACGTGTCGGCTACAGATTACTCCCTGTGTACAGGTCAGGAGATTAGTTGCAGCAACACGTGTCGGCGACACGTCGCTTGATGGGTGGCGGAAGAAAGAAAAACACCGATGGCTCTTAGTTTGAATTCAAAGGAATGGCCCGGCCAACCGGGCGAGAATTCGCCATAAAAGACGAGAGCCTTCATTCTAGAAACAACAATTGCTCCCTCCTTACCAGGTTAGTTGCTTGGGTCTTGATGGACAAGAAGTGTTGAACTCACAGTAGACTTTCTAAAGAAGACAGAAATACAACAATAACTGCAAACTTCAAAGAACTGCGAAATACAGGCGTACGTAAGTTGAGCTCTTCAGGGCCTGGCCTAGCGGCCCGGGTTGCTAAGCCTACTCGCTTTGCGGAGATGTCGGCAAGTTAAATGAACACAATTAAAATCAACTTTGGGATGACATGAAATTGTTTCTGCAAGATTTCCGAGGAAGAAGTGGCTAGACTAAATTAATGATGATATCCCACCATGTAGAACTAAGGCAGATACGGGTCTTCATTTGTTACAAGAAAAGATACCTCAAATTCGAGTAGTATAAACAAAAGCCTTTTTACACGCCTTCTTCAAACCTGGGTATAGAATCAAAGTTAGTACTGCCAGTTGAATTAGACCGCCACTCATTCTCATTTTGTAAGAATCCGAGTCAACTCGGCGCTAGCTACTGGAACTCGTCCTCTGATAGCTAAATTTGCGGGCTGAACAAATGTGACAGTGTTATACCCACCTGTAAATCTGCTGATCCTATCCATAACAAACCAGTGTCTGTAAACATTGCTAGGTATTCATAATTGTAAGATATGGCCATTTCTATGATGGAAGTGACCGTGGCCCCAGCGCTGAATGAAACAGTCTGAAAGTTGAAGAATATCAAAACTATTCAACAACAACAGCAGCCGGCGAGCATACTCACTTGTGTGAGTTCGGGGAAGATTTTTTCATCAATATAAACGATCAAGACTTCGCTATTTCATATTTAAAGTTGTGACACTGATAAAGCCAGAGATGTACAATATTCTCATTGCGACATCTCAACACACTTCTCTATTTTTTCCCCTCCATTCCTTCCTTCACCCCGCACCCACTGCTTTGCTACGCCCTGTGGCTGATTCAGGATTGGTAAAAAGTAGCAACCTTTCATACACTTGGCACTCAAGAGGAAGTTTACGATGTCCAGACAGCGACAGCAAAGAGAAAGTCAAAAAGGCAACAGGGCGAATTTTCGACCGGCTGAACTTGAATTCGAACGTTCACTCGAAACAGCCTTAAAGGTGATATTACACGAGACAACTCGCAACAACCATTTTTAGTGCAAGCCGTAACACGGCGTTGCAACATTGTTGCGATATTGTTTCGAATGGTTGCAACATTGCTCCAACATTGCAACCCTAGATATAGGCATATTTTTATCCCCTAAAAACTTTTCATCTGTTCGGATTTCCTAGCTGAAAGTCTAGTGATCCGAAAATTATAGGGATAAAAACTTACCTTCTCGAAAGCTTCAGCCAAGAAAAGGCTCCCGAAAATTCTAGGTGGTCTTTTTTATGGTCAAAATCCGTTAAAAATGGTTAATTATACCATTTTGTAGATGTTCGAAAATCCTAGGAGAGGCAGGCAAGCAAGAAATTTTACAACAAATGCTCCGAAAATTCTGGATCTCAAATCGTCTTCCGAACAGATATTTTCCCGAAAATTGCCATTGGGTGCCCCTGAGTATAACATCACCTTAACCGTACGAAAATTCAGAGGCATAGCCGTTCAAAGTTCCATGTGAACAACGAAATAATTTCACGTTTTATGGAAAACGTGAACACGATTATCAATTTTCTCTTTTCCGCTTAGGTGGGGTAACCTCCCTGTCCATAATTGTAATCTCTCACTTCAATTTGATCACGTTTACATGATAGGTGGGGTGACCTACCGCATGTTACCTCACCTATCTGTGGTCCCCATCTCCATGTAAACAGTCCCTAAGAATTTAACTCCGTCCTAGACAAGTCCAGGACTCGCCTGCATTTGACAAATTATGCGTGTTGGATTCATCGCAATGAAGTTTCAAACAACGCGAATTCTCTTTTTAAGAGACGTTTTCACCACCGTTGCTGAGTTGCAATCGGTGTGCGAATATCTGCTAGATACACGTTTCTTAAAATCCTAAAACTGCCGACGAAAAGGCAGACGTTTTAAAGATGGGAACTTAGTGAAAAAGCAAGCACGTCTCGAGCTTGGCGATATTTTTCATGGATGAAGAAAAAACAATAATTGGATTATAAGTGGTTGTATCACTGACGATAACAGTTCTACTGTATACTACAGCTCACCAGTCTATTACACTGTCCCTTTTCTGTAAGGTACAACAGATTATCAATTGCCACCAGCAACGATGAACCTCTGTCATGCGGCATAATGACCCAGCTGCTGGGTGGAGCATCCAAACCTGGTTAAAAAAATTACGAGTCAGTTATTTAAACGAAGTTTAATTTAAGCCGCGGTTTACGAATCTTTGGACCTCCAGATCTCTTCCTTAGTGCGTTAAATGCTTTTCTAATCTACTCTAAATGCTTTCATAAAACACTTCACAATAAACAGAGTTTAGATAAAACCGTTGGGCAAATTGAAAAATGGCTCAGAACGCCGTTTTGTTAAACACTGGCCAAACTACGTTTAAATAACTGGCCCTATGTTTCTTAAGAGTCATGACTGGTCATTTTTTGCCGTCCAGTTAGCTCAGCTGGATAAGCGCCTGTCTGCTGAGCGAGAGGTCGCTGGTTCAACACACCGGCTGGATCAACACTTAGGCGGGGGTCTTTTAATGCTGAGCAGAAAGTGTGCCTTTCTAAAGACATCTGCAAACGATTAGACTTTCTAGTTTTCTCAGATAGGGACAGCCCTCAGGTAGTTAGGTGACAGAATTTTAACGAGTTGGGATCGAGAGCAGTTATTGTTTTCCTTGTGAAAAATGTGGCAAAATACACATTTAACTAAGACAGATCATTGTAAATATTTAAGAGAAGAAAGCCTGAAAAATATTCTCGCCGCAAAAAACAAAAGTTAGAATTCAAGCCCACTTGAAGTCAGTCAAATGCTACAAGGAATAATGCGTGACAAGATTCCTTTATTGCCTGTTGAACAACACTTTAACTCTCATCAAATTCAAACTTATCACCAAAGGAAAGTGAGACAC